CTCTTATCGATTTCAGAATGAAGTTTTCTGATGCAAATCTTAATCTACAGACGTTTGGATTGACGGCGACGGCGGTCTTCGTTCAAAGACCACGGTCGGTCATCGCGAATCATTGCCGATCTAGTAATATATATTGATCTTCCAATTCCAGACTGTGAGCAAGAAGGTCACTGATATTGGCCAGCTCCGCATCTGGGATTTCGATGGTTCATCCACAAACCAAGCCCCAGGCAGTGACTCAGACGTCTATCTCCGTCCCGCCGCTATTTTCAAGGATCCTTTCCGAGGTGGTGACAACATTCTTGTCCTTGCCGAGACATACAACAATGACGGCACCCCCAATCGAACCAACTTCCGCCACCACACTAAGAAGGTCATGGATCTCGCAAAGGACGCTGCTCCCTGGTTTGGTCTTGAGCAAGAATATACCCTTTTCGATGCAGATGGCACGCCATTCGGCTGGCCGAAGGGTGGTTTCCCCGGACCCCAAGGCCCGTACTACTGCGGTGCTGGTACGCTTCTTTTAGCCGCCCAGATGTCCTCATCGTTAATTTCGCTTCGCTTTTAAGGAACTGGCAAAGTTATTGCTCGTGACCTCATCGAGGCTCACTACCGTGCCTGCCTGTACTCCGGCGTGAACATTAGCGGTATAAATGCTGAAGTCATGCCCTCCCAATGGGAGTTCCAAGTTGGCCCTTGCGAGGGTATCTCCATGGGTGACCATCTCTGGATGGCTCGTTACCTGCTCGTCCGCATTGCCGAACAGTGGGGTGTCAAGGTCTCCTTCCACCCTAAGCCTCTTGCAGGGGACTGGAACGGTGCTGGTTGCCACAGCAACTACAGCACCAAGGCCATGCGTGAGCCTGGAGGTATGAAGTACATTGATGAGGCCATCGAGAAACTTTCAAAGAGACATGCTGAGCACATCGCTGTCTACGGCGAGGACAATGACCTCCGTCTCACTGGCCGTCATGAGACTGGCCACATCGGAGACTTCAGTTCTGGTGTTGCTAACCGTGGTGCTTCCATCCGGGTGCCAAGGCACGTCGCTGCCCAGGGTTACGGATACCTAGAGGACCGTCGTCCTGCTTCCAACGTTGGTCAGTATATCATCTTTTTGCTCGTTTGTCACATTATTAACTTGTATTTTTCTGAATTAGACCCATACCGCGTGACTGGAATTATCGTAGAGACCACTCTTCTTGACAAGTAGAAGTTTTTTTTTTCGCTGTACTTTACTACATCTGTTTTTGTTGGGACGCAGTCGAACCAAAAAGGCCTGTATGGAATCAGTAATAATTTGTTCCGGTGCTTATGCGATGTGTTGGCTGCTTTTTACCTCGGGAGTCGGGAATACCGCAACTCAGTATTAACTTAGGTGCGTTACTAATGGAATGACTTCGCTCCGCGGAAACAAACAGCTGTTTGTTAGTAAGACTACCACTAGTCACCCCTTGCACATCTCACGCTATGAATATTATCCAACCAAGTATCATCAGAGTGTTAATGTGCCGCCATTCTTAGGTACTTGTGACACGCTGGAGCTTGGAAGGGTAAATCATGCATAACAACGACGATCCATTTTACATCAAATATTTATGGTCTGGTTACAGAACCTACGCAGGTAGATACAGGTAACACGCTAGTAGTTGAATTTATTCATTTCGTTTGTTTGGTGTTGTTAGGATCGAAAGGTCTTGAAGCTTGATTACTTAAATCGATCACAGTCCCAAACGCTATCGCACTAAGAAATTAGCAATGTTATGGATCCACAAGACAGACAATTAACTCTACCTGCCTTTCTCAAAGTCCTCACGAGCAACAATGTGCCTGTACCCAAAGCAATGGCGGTGGCCAGCAAAGTGTTCGTCTGCTCAATTAGCAAGTCTGTATGAATAACTGTGATCTCAGGTACAAGGAATCCAATACGGCTAGCCTCCTTGCACAACTTACAGATCTGAAGCTAAAAGTCAGTGGCGTAGAAGACAAGGAAACGCGGAAACTCGTGCTAGCTGCGATTCGCAAAGCGGGGTACATTGCGCAGCCTTCGCGGCTGGGTTTGGAACCGAAACCAAAAAGTGACAGATCCAAGAGTTTTGATGGACAGCCCGTAGCAGGTCCGTCTGAACCGAGGGTTTCGAATGCAGTGCAGGTCGTGGTGAGTCCACGTTCCGTTGCATAATTTGCGTGCTAAATTACATAGACCACGCCAGTCAAGCGGAAGCGGAAGCGGGATGATGACTTACTAAACGAGCTCCTTCCAGACGGACCTCCGGATGAAGCTGCTGCATACGGCAGCTTGGAGTTTAATGAGGTATTAGATGAGACGGTACAGTTCAATTCTTCACTCGTTCAATCAGATGTGTTCAGCACGTGTCTTTTAGGTTCTCAACACGAAGTTTACGGTTGTGAATCGTGCGCCATTGATGACAGCCTGGGCAACTGTAGTTGCGGAGCGCTTAGGATTTGAGCGGGAGGAAGCGCTTAGCATTGGTACGTACCAGCCAGTTGGCATGGTGGATGCACTCAAACGTCACGAAGCTTCCGTTTATACCGAAATGAATGCGATATCAAAGGGCGTATCCTTAGGTCTCTTTGACAAACCACGTGAGAAAGAGATAGAACTTATCAAGGATAGCACACAACCTTATGTCGACTTACTAGGAAGAAGGTACGTTTCTTGGCAGGTCTTGGCATCTTTTACTGACACCGTGATTATTGATAGAATGTATGTCCATCTGTCTGTCTATGTACACGTTCTAACGTTCTGTGGCCATTCTGCCAGACCCCTGTATCGGACACAGAACGAGACATGGCGTGCTCTGGACAACACCTCGCCGGCTCTCCCCAGTACAGCATTTTCGTATATATCTCGTGCGTTTCGACAGACGACTCCGTACGTGATTGGCGCCCTTCGATTGTTGGCCAAAAGCTTCCCACCCCCAGAGCTCAATAACAAAGGTTTTGGATTGTATGCCGAATTCAGACCTGATGTAGATGGGTGGGGTAAGCGTGGCGAAGTGCGCTGCGAACAAATTCTATCACTCCGGAAGAAGGACAGAAGCACCGTCGCTGAGACCGCTGTGAAAGGCGATGTTGTAAAGCTGGAAGTCAATCACGATTCGAGACCAACTCAAGGTGCGGGTGGGATACAATCTGGTACGTCGGAAGGACCGGAACACAAGAAAGCACGAGCGATGACCCTGGAGGAGTACGAAGCTGCATTGGATCAGGATGACACATTTAATGATGTAGACCTGAACTTTGAATTTTAATTCAGCAATGAATCTGATTCAATTCGGATTACCACAACGACATATAGCCGTCACAGAGCATCGGCAGAACACTTCTGTATTCAACAAGTACCCTGCTTGGCGGTGTCCAAAACACCGATGCCATCGACTGCATCATTGGGTGTAGTGCGATATTGATCGGTTTTCATCATGATTGCACTACCCTTACCATATTTTCGACATTACAGCCCAATGACGGTGGTGAGGGTGCGTCTAGGAGGCGACTATTCCATGGACAGAGGACTTTGGAAGAGTAAAGCGACGCGTTATATTCTGCGTTGAAGGGTTCGCAGTGGCAGCCTAGATGGCAGGGGTAAGGCATCTGTTTGTGGCATTTTCCAATTATGTTGTGCATTTCCGACTTCTCTGGTGGTGTGTCGATAAAATCTTATATTATTGGCCTCGGATGAGCTGTGATGCTGCCTGGTCAGTCATCTCTTGCAATCAGCATCGATATACTGGGTGTGTCGCCTTACACACATTTTGCTTTCTTCTTCTGACCAGCTGCATACAACAAATGTCCCGAGAATATCAGTGATAGATGCAGTGGGTATTTTACTTTGATACCTGCGTTCCCGTCCAGTAAACTGTACTCTGATGTAGGGGATTCTTAAGCAGCTCGTCAATTCAATATAATGACTGCCACAGCTGTGAGTTTGTTCACTGTGTGTGACCCTCCGAGGTTGATCGCAAACCGTATTTGTTAGGCCATATTGTGTACGTCATACTATATTGAGTGTGGTCGTAGCTGCGATACTGAGCATCTAGGAGTAAGATGTCCCCCTCAAAGTCACGGTGTTAATGAAAACTCATGCGGCCTACCGTGACTTTGCGAGGTGACAGGTTCCTTGGGTTATCTCCAGTGATATCGACGGTATGCAGACCTGTGACTATCCTCTACATGTCACCATGGTTTATGATTTCTATAGGACTTATATTCGCTAAACGTTCAGATTCATATTGAAGTTTGTGTTGGGACCACGCCTGATCATTAGCCTTCGAGAATGTGAACGTTAAGCTCGTAGGTCGACTCCGATGCAGAGACCGACATGACTGCAATTTTTTCCAGGAGTAGGCCGCCGCCCGCCCGCCATGTGCATAATGCACATGTAATACTGTGTAGCACGAGAAATGTTTGATATGACGAGCTTTTCTTGAGCACACCGCCTTCAGGGGGCGGCCGGGAAAAGTTTTGTCATGGTATGTGATATATGATTAGTTATCTGGTCATCATGCATCAGGAAGGAAGTAATTGATTCCTGTTGCAACACTATGTGAACAAAGCCCCCTCGTGCTAATATTTCTATGTCCCTTCAAGCTGGCGTATCCGATGTATAAATTTATTGGCAGAGCGAGGTATGATATTGCTAGGGGGATATACTGGTTTGTAGGCTTGACGGTGCCAAGACATTACGATCTTCGGCCACCGGCTACCGTCATGGGGTAATAATACTCAGGCCCAGGTTTGTCTGTTGTGGTGGTCCTCGTGGTCCTGTCGAATGCCATGGGCAACACAAATTGACAAAAAGAATTTTGGGCCCAACCGGGAATTGAACCCGGGACCACCCGCAGCTTCAACACCTTGTGTTGGGGATCGCTCCCGAAGCGGGTATCATACTACTAGACCATTGGGCCTTGGGTTAGGGCCCGCCATTGACTCATATGACCAAAGGAGAGAATTCGGTTTATTCTCCGACACAATTGTCCCCTTAGTCGAGACGACATTATGGCAAGCCTTGCGGTCGCGAAGTTTGTTGTGCACGAGCATGCGAAGATCTACACCTGAATCTCAGTGTCTGGACATGGGCCGCCACAAAGGAACTACAGGACACATGGGAGGTGCCATCATCTGCGACAAGCCGACCGTCAGAGAAGTGGAAGGCGCAAGTGGAATGTGTACAGAGGAAACCGCAGACGAAGAATATATATGAGGCGACTTGAACATTGGACTGGGACATAATGATATCACACTGATGAACTCAACATTGAATATTGAATACTATATAACAGCCATGAATATGATCCATTAATGCACCGTTCATAGCATAAATGAGTGTTCTGAAAATCGTACGTGACGGCTGCGAAGCCTATCTACATCTAGTGCCACATCTATACAGCATATTGTCAGTCGACCCCGCGTCCCGCACCTGTTGCGTAGTACAAAGATTACGAAGACAACTTAAAGTTTTTTGATGATAGCATTGGTGAATTCCGATGTCGTTGCCGCACCTGCAGATGAAGCAATGGGAAAACGAGTCTCGATAGATCACGGTGTATTACTCACCACCCATATCTGCAGTCCTAACCTCTCCGGCGTTAATGACATCGAAGGTCGCGCTTGCAATACTGTTGGCGATGGAATCGAGACTGCGGGAGGAGAGTGTAAGAATTATGAGAACAAGGCCATACCGGACAACATACCCAAGATGTCTGAGCATCATGGTGGCACTCAAAACCATAGCAGTAGGGTTGGCACGGTTGGTGCCCATGATGTCTGAAGCAACGTGTCTACATCCAGGCTCGAAGAGAGCATAGTCCTGAACAAATGTTAATAACCGGTGGAGCCAAATCCAAGTGTGCGACATACACGGCCGATGTTGCATCCTGGAACAATACCAGGTCCGCCGACAAGTGCGGCCCCAATGTTGGAAATGATGGCACCGTACAAATTGGGCATGACCATGACATCGAACTGGCCAGGTTTGGCTACCAGTTGCATGGATCTAGGTAGTATTAGCCGACTGGAGCGGAAAGGGGAGAGACGCCTTACGTGTTGTCGATAATCATATCATTAGACACGATGCCTAGAGATTTGTACTCCTCCGCAATTCGACGGAAGGTGTTCAAGAATAGACCATCACCAAGCTTCATGATGTTGGCCTTGTGCACACAAGTCACTTTCTACAAATGAGTGCTTGTCAGCACAGCTCAAATCGGAAATGAAGGTCACAACCAACCTTGCGGTTGTTCTTGAGGGCAAAGTCAAAAGCGAAGCGCGTAATACGCTCCGCCTTGGCCCTTGTGGAAACCTTCAGACTTTCCACTACACCAGGGTAACTCTGGTGCTCCAAGCCAGAGTATTCACCCTCGGTGTTTTCACGAATAATAGCAAAGTCGACGTTGGAGTGGCGTGTAGGGAATCCAGGGAGAGACTTGCACATCACAACAGATGCATAAATGTCGAGTTGTTGACGCATGGCGACGTTCCATGAAATATGACCGGTTTGAGAGATTGGCGTGAAGAGAATACCTATGACGACAAAGATGAATGTTGTTTCTTTGTGTCTGTGACTCAGTAGAAAGAATAACTTACCCTTGAGACCAACTCTATTGCGCTTGAGACTTTCCATTGCCTGCTTGAAAAGATCCTCCCCTGCTGAAGATACGCCGGAGACATCATACTGCTCCCACTCGATGGGCGCATTTACATGCTCGAAGATCTCCTTGACAGAGTCTGTGATTTCACCGCCAATACCGTCACCGGGTATGAGGGTAACCTGAATACGCTCGATACCAGGACTGTATCCAAGGGTAAATCCACGCACCGTATATACGCCGCCGTACTTGGTCGGTAGCTGATGATAGTATCGATACGATAAGTTCGGTAACGCTATTCGGGTTGGGCGTGGAACTTACTCTTTGCGTGACTTTTGGAAAACCAGCCGAAAGAGTGGTTATAGTTCGCTTGAAAAAAAGGTGAACATCACGCCATCTCATAAATGCAATTACCTACCGACTGCTGAAGAGCAGGGCGGGTCACCGCCGACAGAGCGTTGCGGAACATTACTTACAGATGTTGTGGAATGAAGGAAAGAAACGGAGTTATCGTACAGGTAGCGGGTCGGTTAGTTTTGGTTTTAGACATAAATTGTAGGAAAAATATGAAGAGAGGCGCCGCGCCGTGTAATCGGTTCACTTCATTTATTTCAATTCCGCGTTTGTCCGTACCAAAATTGCTCCCATTTCACTCACTCTCTCTCCTTACAAGTCCTCCTCCCTTAGTTTCCTTTCCAAAAGGCTCAATGGCTGCCGCCCGTACTGCTTTCTCTCGTGTTGCTCCTGCTATCGCAAATGTTCGTGCACGTCCTTCATTGGCTCTAAAACGTGCTGCTTTCGCTCGCGGATATGCGACAGCAAGTGAAAACTCGGTAAGAGTTGCGCGTCATTCTCATGTATCATGCCAATTCTGAATAATTTCGTAGATGACAGTCCGTGACGCACTCAATGTTGCCATGGAGGAGGAGATGGTGCGCGACGAGACCGTCTTCGTTCTCGGTGAAGAGGTAGCTCGCTACAATGGTGCCTACAAGGTCACCAAAGGTCTTCTTGACAAGTTCGGGGAGAAGCGTGTCGTTGATACTCCCATTACTGAGATGGGTTTCGCTGGTATTGCTGTCGGTGCTGCACTCTCAGGTCTACGACCAATGTAATACACTCTTTTCCTTCTGGCGTGTTTTTCTGATTGTTTTGCTTAAAGATGCGAGTTCATGACCTTCAACTTTGCCATGCAAGCCATTGACCAGATTGTCAACTCTGCTGGAAAGACTTACTACATGTCCGGTGGAAACGTACCCTGTCCCGTTGTCTTCCGTGGCCCCAACGGTGCTGCCTCTGGTGTCGGTGCCCAGCACTCCCAAGATTACGCAGCTTGGTATGGCTCAATTCCCGGTCTCAAGGTTGTCAGCCCTTGGAGCGCCGAGGATTGCAAGGGTCTTCTCAAGGTTCTTATTTTCTACAGTTCTCCGTTTGTGTGGCTAACAACTCCAACAGGCTGCTATTCGAGATCCTAACCCAGTCGTATTCCTCGAGAATGAGATGATGTACGGTGTTACCTTCCCCATGTCTTCAGAAGCCATGTCAGACAACTTCACCATTCCCATCGGCAAGGCAAAGGTGGAGCGTGAAGGAACCGATGTCACTATCGTGGCACATAGCAAGATGGTCACTCACAGTCTAGAGGCCGCTGATATTTTGGCAAAGGAGGGTATCAAGGCTGAGGTTATCAACCTCCGTAGCATCCGTCCTTTGGATATTGACACCATCAAGGAATCAGTCAAGAAGACCAACCGGTCAGGCAGTCATTTAGCTTAATGGATTGTTACTCAACTTTTGCGTTACACAGTCTACTTATCGTCGAGGGTGGTTTCCCCGCCTTCGGTGTTGGTTCCGAGATCTGCGCACAGATCATTGAGAGCGAAGCCTTTGACTACCTTGATGCTCCAGTTGAGCGGGTAACTGGTGCTGATGTTCCTACACCTGTACGTGTCATACCCTAATATGACTACATACCAATACTAATACTTTTTATTAGTACGCCACCAACCTGGAGGCACTCGCATTCCCCGATACACCTGTCATCGTCAAGGTCGCCAAGCGGGCACTTTACAGGACCAACTAGGCACACTTTTACTTTTGTCCACTGCATTTGCTTTCATAATTACACACTCATGGGCGTTAGTAGTCCTCTGGTCGCAATAGATATATCACCCGTCTAAATTGGACATGGTCAGACCGGCGTCCGTGCCCGGTCCGTAAAAGTTGCTCTCTTGCCAAGTCGTGGGGTTAATAATTGCTCACACCATGTCACCTGTCAGTGTCATGAGTTACTGAAGCGCTGAATGTTTGTTTCAATTGCGCCATGTGATTTCTTCCTCAGGTGAGAGTGTTCAGTTGTAAGGTTTCCCTATCGGGACCCGCGAGTCTTTAAATTTTATTGGCTTCTCTTCGGTCCATTCGCCCCTGTGAGCATACAAGTGGTACTAGGCTACACAGCATGTCAGTGCTCATGATATATCCACATTCTCATAATATTCAAGAGTTGTTCAAGAGGACATGAGTCACATGGTCATAGCTATCAAGTTACTACTGCATAGGCCTTCCTTCACTTCTCCTCCTCAATTCACGTTCGGTGATTCACTTATAAGTTAAAGTTTAATTTACATTCCTGGTCGTGTCATTTTTCTAGTCCGAATCAACCCGACCATCAAGAGCGTCCACGTAGTAGGACCCATTGATACTCCATTCCCATCGGAAGGGATGACAACGATCACGATCGAAGCGGTTGATGGAACGTATAAAGTTTGTACCTGACTTGATGTCAGGAGTGTATGACAAGTACCATGTACAAACATGGAGAAGACCTGATAGAAAATACACGTCATTTCATGTGATACACACTTGTTACTAATCGCCACCTTCCACAATTTCTTGGGTATCACTACATGCCAAGTCGGATACGAACGGCGTTCGCATGGGCTTGCAGCCCTTCGCAGTCTGCCAATGTCACTACGATAGGTCCCAACGTCTGTAGTCCTTCCATAGTGACCTCCTGCGACGTTATGTGCTTCTGGAAAGACTGTGTATTGACACCGCTGAACTGGCGTGCATATCCGTTTGTGGGAAGGGTGTGGTTCGTGCCCGAAGCATAGTCTCCGCAACTACAGTCATACGATCAACAGAAGGCGTATGTCTGATGAATAAAACTACTTACCTTTCGGGAGAGTACGGCCCTACGAACACGCTGCCTGCATTTTTTACGTGATCGACCCAAGCTGGTGCGTCCCTCAAGTGTAAAATGAGATGCTCAGGAGCGTAATCATTTGAAAACTCCATGGCAATATCTGTCCCTTGTGTTTTCACGATCAAACTTTTTGCCACGCTTTCGCGTACGATGTCGACACGACCCAACGCGTGCGCTTGTTTATCCACCTCTTTTTCGACTTCTGCAAGCATAGTCTCCGAGAGAGATGAAGCGACCAAGACAACTTGAGAATCGATACCATGTTCAGCTTGTGAAAGTAGGTCGGCCGCGACAAAAGCAGGGTTACATGTATCATCTGCTATCACCTTGAGGGGAAGTACCGTATTCGTTAGTCTTCCAAGGACAACGAACACGGTACGTCCGCAGTTGAAAAACCAGAGCTACTTACCAGTACCTCGGATGGCCCAGCAGGCATATCTATTGATACCAGTGCATCCGTGTCATTTTGTACGAGCATCTTCGCAGCTGTAACCCATTGATTCCCTGGCCCGAAAATCTTGTCAACTTTTGGAACAGTCTCTGTGCCATACGCCAGAGCAGCAACTGCTTGAGCCCCACCGGCTCTGAGAATGGCATGTGCGCCCACTTTATGAGCAACATAAAGTACCTCCGGGGAGATACTTCCATCAGCCCTGGGTGGTGTAGCCATGACGATTTTTTCACAGCCAGCGACTTGGGCTGGGACACCTAGCATAAGTGCCGTGGAAGGGAGAACGGCAGTGCCCCCTGGAACATAAAGTCCCACCCGCGCGATGGGGCGGGCAAAGCGGGTGCATGTCACCCCTGGCATAGTTTCCACAACAAGTGGAGCACCGTCAATTTGAGCGGCGTGGAATTTGTAAACGTTGCTGTAAGCAGCGTCAATAGCATCGCGTACAGCAGGATCGAGGTGCTGTGCTTCTGGTGCAAGAGGGTAGAAGGGTGGAAGGAGAAGTGGGGTATCCAATTGAACCTTGTCAAATTTGGCGGTGAGCTCACGTAGAGCAGAGTCTCCGCGAGCGCGAACATCATCAACTATGGGCTTGACCTTGGCAATCATTTCATCTGATCTGAGAACAGGTCGCTTAAGAAGCTTGGCGCGGTCCTCGAGGGATACAGCAGAGATATCAACTGTCTGCATTTGAATGGGCCCATTTCGGTCAAAAGGCGGCTTGCTAGAGGGTGTCGATGAAGCTCTAGGCGCTTCCGCCTTGGGTAATTCTGCTTTGGGAGGCTCAGCCTTGGGCAGCCACTGTTGCTTCGCATTTCCTGGCCTTCGACTGATCTTCATCGCCTTCTTGTCTAGTGAGCGCTCAATATCCCTGATGCTCACACCAGCAGCAACACAGCGTGTTAGGGTAAAGTAGATGAGATCAGCAGCCTCGAATGCCACTTCCTCCTTTGTCTTTGCACGACACAGTTCATCGGCTTCTTCCATTATCTTTGCTTTCAGGAGCTCCTCGTCATTAAAAAGGCGGCGAGTATATGAACCCTGCGGCGCGTCAACTAAACGTAAGGCCAAAGTACGCTCGAGAGCGGCGAGTCCGTCTAAATCGCCGAAGCATGAGGCGCGGTTAAGGTGGCAGAAACCAGCGCCGTGCTGTACCACGCTAAACTCGAGCGCATCGGTATCGCAGTCTACGCGAATGCGTACGACGTCCTGCGTGGCCCCGGAGGTCTCGCCCTTGCGCCATAAACCGTGTTTTCTGGAGTGATATACCCCTTTGCCTGTGCGGATTGACTCAGCAACCGATTCACAAGACGAATAGACCAGGCCTAGAGAGCGTTTGCCCTGAGGATCAGAAGATACTACTGTTGGGAAAAGTCCGTCAGAGCGATCTGAAACAATTGGTGCAAGGAATGCGTCTGCGATGCTAATCATTGTTTGGGAAGTAGAGCCGAGGGTGAGCTGGGAGAAAGGAATGACAACAGATGCGCCAACGGCTGCGAGTTTTCTAATGATTGAGGGTGTGGGGAGATCAGGTGCTAAAACGTGCACTGCTGCGCCGACGAAGAAGCGTGATACGGAGTGGACAAGGTCTACATCAAAGCCAAAGCCACTCGAGGAAGAAGTTTTAAGCAAGACGCCAGACACAGCGTTGCGAACGGAGTCGGAGACAGCGCTCACGTTAGCGACATCGAGGAGAAGGAGTAATCGATGAGGAGGCACCGTCCCAAGCAGACTTTTGGCAAGAGAAAGAGGCACAATGGCCTTGTCGGCGCCATTGTCAAGGAGGGTGATGATTTCATTGGCATCAGTAGATGTACTATCTTCCACAAGAAAATAACGGATTGTGCTTTCCGGGGTTGATCCAGATCTGGCGATGACTGGAGCAACACGCGAGACTGCGAGGAGGAGCTCCTCGTCGACAGACTCGCTGTCGAGTAAAGCAAGAAATGGGAACATGACAAAACTTCACAAGAAGATTGACTCCGACAGATGGATGGATAATCTTGACTTCTATTAGATCCTCCATGTCATGTACATTACAAAGGCCTGCTTTTCAACGGTCCAATAGTGTAGCGGTTATCACCCAAGATTCTGAAACACGCTTTCTTGTGACCCAGGTTCGATTCCTGGTTGGACCTACATTTTTTCTCCTTTCCGTTCTGATACTTATGTAAGCGCTGTAATTTCAAAAGTTGACTTGCCAAGACAGGACATGCCGCTGCACACGGCTGAAGCACATTCTTCAGCCAGCAGAGAAGGAACTACAACTTCACATAACTCGTCTACAGACTCCAAAGATGTAGCATCAGAGTTATCCCTGAATAAGGGGCCGTGATGTCAATCAGATAAGTTAGATACCTATCAAACGGAGCAGGTAATGTCTTCCTCACTTCAAGTTCACTCTCGCTATAATCTCTTCGTGCAGTGACATGTGAGGCCTTGAAGGCTGAGCGCTGAGCGGTCGGCACGGAGGCCGGAAGATAAGCTATTATATTCCCTCTTCTATTTTTCAAATCTGAGTTCACAAGGAGAATATGTCGGATGCCATTTGCAATGGTGTGTCGGTGATGCCGATGTCACTACTGTCCCCTACATAGTTTTCAAACTTCTTGTGAGAGAGTAGGCACATCTTATGATGGCTCGCTTGTGCGTACACTCACACAGCTTATCTGACTTGGAGGAATTCCATTCACCTTATCTGAGGACTTCTATCCACCTTATCTGAGGACTTCCATCCACCTAGCCCCCCCCCCCGCAAGATGTCTCCTCAGGTGAGGCTGCGTTACGACTGCAGGTCGACTCTGTACTCACCTAGTCATTCTCAGAATATACGCATCGACGTTCACCATCATGTCTTTCTCGACGCTCAGAAAAAGGCGAAGAAAAGCTTGGAAGTAGGCTTCCGAACACCAGAGGAAAATCTACCTTGGACACCACAGATCAGTTTGGCTGCAATGGACAAGCTGGGGATTCAAACAACGATTCTTTCTCCCCCTCCAGTCTCATCCAATGGAGCGGAAAATCGCGCGGAAGTGAGGAAACAGAATATTTACTCATCGCAATTATGCGCCACATATCCTGGAAGATTCGGATTTTTTGCTTACCTCCCCTTCCTGGATGATGTTAAGGGTACATTTTCCTGTAAAGCTTCCTTCCGCATCGTTGGTCTTACGTCCTTTGCGAAACACAGGTACGTTGGAGGAGATCGCCTTCTCCTTTGACGTTCTTGGTGCAGATGGAGTGGCTCTGATATCGAGCTATGGGGATGGCAAGTCTGCGAGTACGGCGTTTTGAATTGCAATGCGCTACAAACAATGACACAATGTTGCCTTAGAATATGTCGCCGACGATTTATATGATCCCATCTGGGAGGAACTAGACCGAAGACATGCCGTCGTGTTTTTGCATGGCGCTCAGACGCCTTCCTCTACTCCTTACCCTCATCCGTGGCTTGGCGTGCCAATTTCTGAGGTGAGTTCGATAGAATCCAAATAAATGCTCTCGCTCACTCTAAGAAGGTCCCCAACGAGACCTACAAGGCTGCTGCCCACCTGGTGGTCAGCGGGAAAAAGCGACGCTTTCATAACGTGAACATAATCCTCACTCATTTGGGCGGGAGCACGCCATTTCTTGCTCCACGTGTTGCTGCCCTTTCACATTACATGGGCTGCCCGTTGACGCCGGACGAGATCATAGAAGATTTCAAGAGCTTTTATTTCGAGACTGCTCTTAGCGCGCACGAGACGACGCTTACCGCAATGGCGACATTCGTACCATCTGACCGCCTCCTCTTCGGAACTGATTTCCCAGGTATTTAGCTGCGCGATGCATTACATAATTGATAATGATCCTGTTTTTAGCCGTGAGTATCAAGACAGTCGAGTGGTACACACAGAACTTGGAGAATCATTTCGCCGGAAGACCATTGGACCTCGCTAATACCATGCACGAAAATGCTCTTAGGCTCTTTCCAAACCTAGGAAAAAGCAAAGACGTTTCCAACGGTGGACAGCAGATCAACGACGGGCCATAACACGCTGTAAATTGGTGAAAGGATGCATTGGAGGCCGTACAAAGTGATGAAGTATGCAAAGGATCATAAATTCGATCTAAGGTAGCAGAAATGTAAATAGATGTCTATACACCGAGCCTGTACAAAACATCAACCCAGTTACGAATGAACAAGAGCCAAAAAAAACGTACCTTCGCTTGCTATGTTCATAGACAACATAGGATATAGAGACTGAAGGAATGACCTATGACAGTGATTAGCGTGGCAGCTACGCCATAACCCACAATAGTATACCTTCGCTAATGTCGGGAATAGTCCGCGATAAAATCCTCTCCACCCATCCCGTTGATATGTCCTCGTCACTACGTCCCAAGGACCCTTATAGCGCTGTGGATGGCCTGACGAACCTGATGCCTGTAACCGCGTCCGTACCAAATTTAACGGATACACGCTCGTGGCACCTACACTCCCAGATATGCTTCCAAAGGCAAGAATAGCAAGCACACCGGGCTCGTCTCTCCCAGTCGATCGCAAATATGCCAACTTCAATGCCTCAAAGGTGCTCATATCAATCGCCGAGTATCTGTGGTTCGATTAATGGAATAACTTTGTTGAGCCATCAGAATATTTACGGGAAAACTCCAATGAGACCGATCTTGTCTCCTGTCAGATGGAAGGCAAGGTCACCAACAACGCAAGACGAACCGTCAAACCGCGGTAGAAGGCTCGGAAGCGGCCAAGTTGCCACACTCTCCGGGCAGCACCCACGAGGCTTCGTTTCTGGTCGCCTGTCGAACTCATCATTTGTGTCTGTAAGGCACATGTTTATTATATTGTCAATCTAGGAACTCCTTTGCTTCATACCTTCAGTGTCTCGATTGGATATATACCTTCATGGTGATGAGATGAAGGAACGAACAGAAGGGGGATCCATGTTTACTCACTAAGCTGGCTTGAAATTCCGCCAAGACCTCCGGAGAGGAAGCGACTTGTTCCGCTAATGTCCCTCGTGTCCTCCACATGATCCCAATATTGTGCGAAAGCTCGTTTCTGTAGATGTTAGGTCCAGATAGACCGCAAACCAGAACAAGGTACATACAGCCGATTCATACGTCAAGAATTTGATAGCCGATTCAGGGAATATCTTCAGCACGGAAAGGCCATTGCCCGTCCAGAACGCAAGTGCACCGCCTTCGGAATAGATGCGTGCAACTGCGCCTGCGATCGCTTTTAATCCTCCCATCCCTGGCTTAGGTTGGATCGCAGCGCCGCCCATCTCAGGAGGGCGAGTGATTAGGAAAATTTTCACACGATCAAAAGGCGCTGTACATGTTCGAGACACTTCGGCGAATGTTAACTCACGGCGCAGTCAAGAGTCATAGTTGCGTACCAGCTCCTGCAAATCCACCAGCCATGAGAAACTTGAAAGCAGTGGGAGCTTGTAACCAGTCATGGTGTTCCTCTACCTCGTCATCGAATTCGTCGAATTCGTCATCTCCAATCACATCGGAACTATCCCATAGTGATAGTAGAGGCTTGTCTTCCGCACTGAGACTGACGTCACCTGAAAATAATATTCACGCTTCGAATCATGGATGACGGGGATGAAATGTCAAACCTTCCATCGTTACCCGCGCCGCTCCCCTTCCATCATCTCCCATAAACCTCTTCACTTCGTAGTATTGGTATATCTCAGCCGCGGATGCCTTTCGAGGTAATAATAATAAGAAATCCCTGAACTCCCGAAAGTTGATCATGTGTGAATGTGGCGACCAAGTCAGATACGTCATGAAGTCAGTCAGTGTGGACGGCGGAAGTGTTATCCCTGGAAAATCATAAGGGCGAGCCATGCAAGATCACACGAATCTCACCGGCTTTGCCCAATGCTAATGCCAATTCCTGCGCATCGAGGTGGCCATTGCCATCGAGATCCAGCTCATCGTGGAATATCGACCATAATTCTAAACCGCCTTTGTAAGATATACCCAGCACGCCGTAACACAAAGTACTCACCAGCTTCCTTAGTCTCGGCATACCGCCGAAACTCAGGCCACCTAATATGACTAGGCCGTTCATTCGTTATGTGACCTCCACACTTCCCAAGGAGCTCATACTCATATACCTTCTTCATTTCCTCCGCTCTCTGTGCCACCAGCGGGTCCCCCGCAGGAAACGTTCTTGATGCAGCTACTCCCGATCCATGGTAGCTCGAATTAGGCAAATGCTTCCATAGTTCGTGCAAATGTCTCTCCCGCTCCTCCTTTCCCTCTTGCTTTCGAAACTCGAGAAGATTGTGCGGAACCAGATGAAAGGGAGGAGGGTCGGACCTCAGTCGCGGGATGAATGGCCGATCATGGGCACCGGTGAGACAGGACTCGTAAAGTTCACGGCTCGTGGGGTGTTTTTCTGGAGCGTCCGCCATGAACTCAAGCCGGGCGAGATATATAGATTGTGATGCCCGATTACGATAGTCAGTGTAGAATTCATGAAGACATTCTACACGTTTTTGAAACGTTCAGCTGGCGTAGTGTAGACCAATAGAAAACTGATGGAGTTCTGTTTACCACTGCTTGCCGAACCAAATTTAAACCGGTCATGCTCCCAGTCACTTGGCAGATTCTGTCAAACAAGTTGAAACAACTGTTGCAAATCAGTCGTGAAAAATGTGCTGCATAGTCTTTACAAAGAAATGGTAGTGTAAGAATGCACAAATGCGAAGTACAGTAAAGTTACAGTAAAATAGTTTCATTGTCCATCAGAGTCCCAATAAACATAGCAAATGCACAAAGAAGACCAAGTTTCCACTACATTACAAACAACATAGACCAGATATGAAACGCTTGAAGCCACTTGCGACCGACTGCCACCAGCTGCGCCTTGCCCGACCAGCGGCATCTCGATCAAGGAGGGCAGCAGGGAACTCAGAGGCGTCCCGAGTAATCTCTTTATTGATCAGGCCTTGAGCAGAGGGAGTAGCAGTACCCTCGGTCCATTTCTCAGAATTAAGAGTGAAATTAAGAGTCGAGTTGAGAGTAGAGGGACGCCTATCGTGACCAGGAGAGTACGTGGGAGGTTGAGAATACTTATCATGCCCAGCATGATTAGAAGGAGAGGAGACATCATAGTGAGCCAGCACACTTGCAGGAGGTGTCGGCAGCGATGGCTTGGGAGGTACAGGCGGAGGTCCTGGCTTCTCAATCGAGATCAACGGAGCCGCGTCATGGTCTTGTTCACGAGAAGCCAAGGGAAGTGTGGAGTGGGGTGCCTTGCGTCAGTTGTCAACCCAAAGTACTTATTCAAAGGTAAGGCACATTACACATACTAGTTGTGATATGATAGTAGGCGTTGGCGAGTCACATCCAGATCCAGCTGATCTGGGCCTCTTGCGTTGGTTGGGGATTGGGGGCGTCGGGGGGCGAAATTCCTACAGAGTATGAAGACTCGATCTGGAAATATTTGAAGTCTACACGCACCTCTTGATAAGACGGCTGCCGTGCCGTGGATCGCATTAGGTGTTCCCAAGGCGTGGGCGAATTTGGACGAGACACGAGTTCCTCGTCGTGGTAGCTCTCAGTAGGTGTAGGAGGAGTAAAGTTCATAGTTCCTGATGTCCCCCAATCCTGTGATATATGAGTAAAGTTTGGATTCCTTGATCCAAGGATTAGCGTACAGGCGTTGAGGGTGACAGCCTTTCTGTGGAGGGTCCAGCATCGGTCCCATGAGCGTCGTGGCTCGATGGGCCCACGACTGTGATAATAGCAGGCAGGCCAGACGTCGCTCTTCCCTCTCTAGATACCGCCCGGTCAATTGCGTTACGCCAGTCGGGGGGTAGCTTGAATAAATCGGTGAATATTCAGCTCTTTTAACAAGGAACGTGTGCATGTACTTACAGGAGGAGCATCCTGATTGATAGAAGTGTGTGAAAAAGAAAACCGTCTCGTGGAGCTCGTCGGCGAACCATGGGGAGAAGCCGGGGGCGAGGGAATGAATTTTGGGACGGGCTTCCTATAACTCGAAGTTCGGCTGGATAGCTTCGGTGCCGACATTGTGACAGAATAGACAAATGTGGTGGGAGACGGTGACTTATGTGCGACGACCTCTTTAAGTCGAGACGTATGTGGCACCAATTATACCACAATTATAGCTTGTTGCTTTGCGTGGGCCTAGGATCAAAGTAGTCGTATAACAATTAAAGAAAATAATGATGAAAGAGAGAAAGGAACGGACTTCATATATAGAAACGCCTCGAGTTTATCCCGAGGCGGAAGTCATTAAGGCTTGGGAAATTCCTTCTCTCTCGTCAGCAGCCACGCTTTGGACGTACAGAAGGCTCACCTCATGTATACCGCACGTGTGGCTGCGTTTGACTGGCTACAGTCACAATGAGACAACCGATCGCGACGAGCGCGAATCCTGACAAACAGGTCAGAGGGGAGTCCCAAGTTGCAAAATTGTTTGCCACCGGCATTCATTGATTAGTCGAGGACAAAGAACGATTTCCGCAGCCGTAAAGTCTTAATAGCACGATTCATAAAGCATTGTGCTCACGTACCTGATCTCCAAGGATAACTCCGAGCTTGTAACTTGTTAGGCTGTGAGGAGTCTGGAGGAGTGCACCCTGTACATTTCGGAGTCAGTTCACCCCAATTATGGCATATCCTCTGTAATGAAACTTTCACTCTATTGAACTTTGACTCCGCACTTCCTAACTTTTCCCGATGTGCTTTACATCATACCCGATAAGCACAACGATATATATATCATGATGATCAGTGGAGCACAAGTTCCGTCAACATTTCCCGGCGCCCAAAATCCGCTGCGAAGTAACATAGAAAAAGTCGGCAAACAGTGACCACCCTAACAGTAAGACATAATGCCATTGGATCAAGAAGATGAATAACTATATGTCAGTGAATTGCGTAGCTTTGTATGCGATTGAATTGTACGAGGTACAAGTTAGGTCATTAAATGGCGTTACTTGATGAATAGACAGATGGAAGCAATGCGTTAGACGAAGTCGAAGGACGTGTCGAGGGTGGGTAAAGTTGAATCAAGGGTATCAAGGTTATGCTTAATGGAGTCCAAGCCAGATGATAACGCATTCTCGTCGTGGGATTATAATTGTCGTTGCAGGCAAGACGGACGCAACCTCCCGGCTCCCGGATCCCGTCGTGAATAGATGAAGTCATAATCAATGTGATATGAAGCGCGGCAGATTCCTCAAGGAAGGCTAGACTTCTCTTGGACGAGAGCTTCCAGCAGCTGCTGTTCCTCACGTTGCGTACGTGAGTGCGAAGATAACCGAACCTTCCATTCTTGTACCCATGCCCATCTTGAGACACGTTCCTCTTGACTGATGCTTGATCTATTAGATTGTGGTGAGGAAGATGCCGAGATCAAAGAACGCAGCCGCTCGCGTCCGAGGATGGGTGCCAGTGAGAGAAACGACAAAAACGCAAGTTTGACGAGAATGTCTGGTGAGGTCAGCAGTGACGAGACTGTTTGCTGGGATGGCGAGGTCGTGGATGCAACGGTTTGAAGGATATCACCGATCTGACGTCAATAGTTATTTGGGCACTCCAAGGACAGTAAATCGAAATCCTACCTGACAAGTAACCGCCGTCCAAGGGAGGCACCCAATGAAGGCACCGAGGAGGCAATCGGAGATCGCAACACCACACACACCACAAGCGATGTTAATTCCCGACCAAGGCACCACGCCAACGAGGCGGAGGACGGACAACCGTGCCCAGGTCGGCGACTTTGATTTTTTACCGGTTGACAAATTGGATTCTCCCTCCAAGGCGATACGGGTCATATGGAGTGCACGAGGAAATAGGCGCGATAGGGATGGTGCTAAAGGTACACACAAAAGAGTTGCAAAGATTGAACCCAGTGTGGTCAATGCAGAGAGGAGCAATGTAGCCAGAACAGGATGAAACAGAGCGCCCGCTAAAACATTCTATTTTTAAAAAAGGAGTCAGGTAAATCTATCAACCAAAAATAAGATAAGCTTCGGTTTGCTCACCCAGATGACGCTGCCTGGGATCGACCAAGCATGCTTCCACACTGCAGTTACAGACAAGACGCCGATGACATGAGCTAAATGTAGCGGACCACTTTGCGAATATGCATGCAGCTCACGGCCTAGCGCCGCAAGCTCGGGTAGCGTTCTCGGGAAAGCAACGGAAATGGGCAAGGAATAGAGGGACAACAGTACGGCCGCCGTTGTAAGCGGGAAAAGTAGCATCACCAGCAGTATAGGAGCGTGCACCTAAAATGGCCAAAGGATCAGATTGAGTAGGGTGGGAAGGGGTGTAGAACGAACCGACGGAGGGCGCCACCAGCGAGCATGCGTACGAGGTGCATCCTTGTCGTTAAAAATGTCACCAAATGTTGTCTGCTGCGAGGATGCAGATATTGGTAAAACCAATTCGTCCTGCACGGTAGACTGCGGAGACGAAGGAGTAGACCAGTTTATAGAGTGAGTTGTGGGCACGTGCAAGAGATCTAAGAAACTGGATGCGATCACTGCGAACATGGAATGTTTTTGGTCCGGTTCAGGTGAGGCAAGTATTTGAGGAGAGGGTTCAAGATGTGACTTATCCACAGATGGTGTGGACGGTGTGGATGGTTCGGATTGCTGTATAGGGAGAATGAGTGAAGAAGAGCGACGTCTTCCCAACGTGTTTATGGTGAGTGCAGGACGTATGTTGGTTGAAGAAGCACGACTGCGATTAGGCGGTGGTACAGCCAAAGACTCCATCAAAAGTCAGTGCAGTTAAGTAAAAGGGAGAAATGGGCAAGGTTGAAAAAATAACAACTAAATATATAATACGTAAACTAGTCTGACGCAAAAACGCTCCGATCGGCATGTATGAGCAATCCCCGATATCAGTCGGCTATTGCAAGTTTTCACTCTAATACATACACTACAATTGCAGTACTATCTGACTGGACGTCGGCAGGTAACACGCAAGCACACCGGACATATACAGCATCATGATCCGTCGTCCGCGTCATCGCTCTGTCAGACTTACTCAGACCTGTCGGACTACGTAATCCAAGACCATCCGTGACAAATCATCCACATCTCGGGCTCCGTTGGTTCAAACGGTCGGCATCGGTGCATAGATGTCATAGCATAACATGGAAATTGTAGTAGGCACCTCTTCATAGTACACCCCTCAATGCGCTCTCCTGCTCTCCTGGATAATGTTACCAAGCTCCTCCAATTTGCGCTTTGCACGAAGGAGTGTACCAAGCTAATCAATGCATTAGTCCGATATCCTAACGAGTACACTAGCACACCTACCCGTTTCTTCGTCAATTTTCTTGCCTTCTTATCCTGAATAGTCATCAACGCATTTAAGAACTTGTTTAGCACACGATAAGATCAACGCACCTTGGCATTTCTCAACAACTCAAGTACCCGGCGCTCATATGGTGCAAAGCCAGAAACTTCCCGCACGACAGACCGCACGAACTTGTTTTTTGTTGATTGGATGCCCTTGCGGTGGCTGGGGCGCGTGGTCTTAGGAATGGCGGTGGTGGGGTAGCCCTTGTTCAGGCCCTGGCGCAAGTCTATGTCGACATTTGCGATGAGCGGTACGAAACATTCAAGCAAATCACTCACTGCTTCGTACCATTTTCTTCAGGTCTTGAGGATGTGCGGTTGTTATTGGCGTCCAAGTCTACCTTGCCTCTTTCCAGGAGTCACGTGTGCTGTATTGTGGCTGATGGTACTGTACAGTTTCTTTTCCAGTATATTCCCACAACCTTTGACCAAGACATAAGGATTAGAACGTCAAAGACGTTGTATATGCAGTTTGTATGCAGTTGTACACTATTATGTGATCTATGCTGTGATTGCAGTCATGGATGCGCAAATAAGACATTCGAAACCTAGATAATCTGTGCAGCAAAAGTGTCATGAGCCCGCTCTGTCCCACAATACTCGTCTTAGTATTGCCGCACGACTTTCACCCTTCCTGTGGCGCGCCCCGAGGTAACCACGTTGTCTTCTATATGAGGCACTGCAATGGACGTCGGCGATGTCCGCGCGGAAGAGGGGAGGTGGATGGGTGTGGGTGGCCGGGGTGAATCGGCGTATTGCTCACCTCGGATTAGGTGCCTCCGCGAGCCTCCTTCCTCTTCCTCCTCCTCTTCCTCCTCCTCCTCCTCCTCTTCATCGTCTTCAATGGTTTCCTGTAGGAGGTAAAGCAGCTTGTATGAGTGAAAATGTCTCCGTGCCGGGGTTATACCCTACCGCATCAAAGTCTTCCATTAGCCGATCATCCTCATCAATGTCCTCCTCCTCGTCATACTCATCGTCATCTATCCACCGACCCCTCCAGTCTACCATATCCAATTCATCTGGGCTCTCCGGTCTCACCCGTAACCATTGCATCCGGGGTCCAGTCTTGGCCCGTTCACTGACTTTGAAACCATATATTCGTGGTTGATAAAGGTGGCCTGCAGGGCGTTTCTGCCCCCCATGCGGATTTGGATTGATGAAGGGTGAAGGTCGCGAAGAACTACTACCCGAGCCACTGTGTGGCGAGCGCCCGGGAGACATGGATGATCCTGGGGACGACGAAGGTTTGTAGAACGGCGCTGGGGCAAGTTCACGATAACTCTGGAAAAATAGGTGTGCAAATGTCGTTCCAAAGAAGGCCCCTACATCCCTCAAGATCTCGGTGAGAAGTACTAACGGTCAGTAGGGATACAGCTCACACACCATCGACCCCTTGGAAACGACTGCTCGGTGGTGCATAGATATCATTGCAATTTGGACAGAAAAGTTTGACTGTGTCGAGACCGGGAAGATCAGAACGACCGGAAGGAACTACATTGCAGCCCATGCAATATACACGCGGGCAGACGCCAAAGAGGGCATTTTCATACTTATCAACCTGTGAGAAAGGATGATCGACTCGATCAAGTGTGTTGGTGCACGATATGGTTGACTCACCATTGCTTGCAATCCAGCACGCGTCAGTATATAACGTTGATGTACTAGACCATACAATAGTTCAGCTGATGCTTCGACGATTGACACGTCGGGTATTTTTGAGGAATCTTCGTCTCGGAGCGAATAAGATCGTTGCGCCACAGAATGAAAAAGGCGACGTACCAGGCTCCACGTCCAACACCATCTCCATTGCTTCCTTCCAGAATGGTACCATGGCATTCAAGCCGGTGAGGTTGAAATCATCCTCGATAAAATCTTCCGAGACTTCACAGAAGTACTCGTGGCCAGGCAGTGAGCAAAACCAGCTAATCCACGTAAGGGTAGATGTAGGAGTAGATGATGCTGAAAATGAATATCGAGTAAATTAGCGAGCTGTCGATAGATTTCTCCAACTCCAAAAAAACGCGCAAAGAAAGTTACAACTTATGAAATCCGGAATGAATGATAGGTTTGATACGCACTGTAACCTTCTTCAACTTCCTCCATAACTTCATCGCCCTCACCAATACCACTAATTACCTCTTCCTCCTCAAGCTCGACCTGCTCCTCCTCAAGCTCGGGTGGACGGGACATAACGTTCACACTTTAAGTCAGACTGGCTGACGTGCTGTGGGTCTGCATTCTGTTTCTCCAGAAGTTCCGGATTTGTATTCAAACTCCGCTTTCGTGTTCACAGCTGCAACGCTTCGATCACGACAAACTTTAGCAAGATTTTGGGCCACAGGGAACAGCTATTACAGACCTCGAAGCACATCGAACACATGAACCCTCTTCCTAGCACATTTGTATGTAATACTTGGCTATATTTGCAACTCACGACGTCTGGAAACTGCATGTCATCTGTTCTTTTACATGTCCACCCCAAAATGAAGATCCCATGATAACCAGCAGCAATAATTGCCCAGCAATCCAACTGATGATGGTATATGAAACAGCCTTCCATCCTTTCAATGCGCCAATCTCCGCAGCAAAGGTACTGATTGTCGTTAGACAACCACAATACCCGTCTCCTAAACCCTGAAGCAACGAGCAAGCATTTTGGGAAACTGGAGATGGGAAGTCTTGGAGTACATGGAAAAAACCAAGGAGAGCGGTCCCAAGTGAGTTTGCCATGAAAGTTCCAAGAGGTATAGTCTTCAAGCGGGGATTCAAATTTATCGACAGAAGGTACCGAGTTAATGTGCCAGGGAACGAAAATAGGAGAGCAGCTGTCGCTTGATGGCGGAAATTGCCTGGCAGGAAGAAGTACACAGGAAGGGTCGCTGCGTATGTGAGGATCGCAAGGATGGTGAGCGTGTATCGGAGGTTCTTGCTTGGCGGTGGAGGTGCCGAGAAATACGGTTGAACTGCTCCACAGACGTATACTCCAAATTTCAATGACGCCAAGGACAACACGAGGGTGACCCAAGTCCGGGTAAAACCATCCATGAACTGTTAAACGTAAAAGAAAACGGCGTCATGAATTGACGGCAAAAAAAGGTAAGGGTCTGCTCACATCTCGAAGACCGCCTCTGAAGAACTGACCACTATTCACCCACGAATCAAAGATGTCCACCTGCCACCCAGAGAATGTTGTTAATGATCCACAGAATCCTGTGGCAGGTTAATGGGGTATTATGGTGTGATAGCAGAGGTACTGACCAGTGGTCAAGGCCGTGTATAACGGACCATAGCTGCGGAAAAGTATGAAAGGCTAGGTGGTGAAAGCGAGAAGGGACACATACAAATTACCAAATGGTACTTTCATTCTTAACCCAACGCCCATGATAAAGCACCCTGTGGCTTGGACGTAAGCCAATGGGAAAATACTTTGGCCGTCGTAGGTTGTAAGCGCTTGTAAGCCGAGCCGTGCGAGGACGCCGAACATTGACGCGGGCATGAGGAGGGCTAGCACATGGATTGATAGGGGGTGATATATCTTTGCAGGTGGAAGTTCTTCGACTTCTGATGGAGGGCGATCGATGCTAGCGAGAGTGTTTGCGTCGTCTGTTGTTTGATGACGAGCGAGAATGGTCCCGATATCAAGATGCTGTTGGGATGGAAGGTCTAAAGACATTAGTGAGGTATCAGTGTGATGGGCAACTTCAGTTTGCAGGAGAAGGGAATATATATTTGATTGATTCGAATTCGACACTTGCAAGAAGCAGCAACAAATTGCAAAATTTTTAGCGTCGTTCGAAATCGGTAGTTGATTGCGAACCAGTGGACCAGCCAATGAGAAGCCAGGGATAGAATCGAGCGCTGAACGCTGAACGCTGAGCGACGATTATTTATACAAATGACTAGCCTAGCGACTGACTACAAACATGGGCAGGCAAAAACTACTCATGACAATCAATTTGCTTTTCATGAGCAGGTGATTAGTAGCAGCATGACTAGCTATAGCTTGTTGACTCGACTCAATTACTCTTGGAGTCACAGATCCGGATGCTGTGTGTAAAATTGACCTCGACTGGATGAGCTTCAGAACTTGTAGTGTTTCGAGTGTAGTATTGTCGGAGATAAGTTGCTGCACCGTAGGGTGCAGGTCTCTTCGCTGTAAAAATATCCACTCGGAAGAAGCTTGATCATGGGTAGAACAAATGTAGCGATGCGAGATAACGGGAAGCCGGGAATGAGGATTGGGACTAAGATGACTCGGATGAGATGATCACGGGCCACGGTGCTGCGGCAACGACACGGGGTCAGACATGTTGCTCGCAGGGGCAGCCCCGAGCTACCATGGATGACAATTACTTCAAGGTGCACCGTGCAAGCACTGGAGCCTCAATTGAAAGAACAGGGGGCCCGCGAGGCTCCACGGAGAATGACCGTCGCATCTAGGAGATTGATGATGAAGGGGGGCAGCTACTGGCAGCTCTGAGCTCATGCTCATTGCAATTGTGGGAAGTTCGAGAAATATCGAAGGTCATTTCGATGCGAACCGAGAACGGCGTTTAGCTCGAGTTGGCAACATTCTTGCAAGTCAGGTAAGTCCGACCCACCAAAAGTTTGATTACCAATTTCGAATTCTAACTTTATCATCCTGAATTCTACAAGTGTATATATCCACCATCCTCAGCACACATGCTGTTCTGCCCGACATGCGCTAATCTCCTCGTCATATCCTCAGAAACAGGGTACAATAAATGGGCATGCAATTCCTGTCCATACGAGTTTCCCATCTCGAAGCAGGTCTGTACTCCAATCATTTAAAAAACTATATTACCGTCCTTGATATCAGTCCTTTCATGGCCGCGTCGTAGATGACTTCCCGTTCGCGTATGACGCGCAAGGAAGTAGACGACGTACTCGGAGGAGAGGAGACCTGGAGAGATGCTGATTCTACTGCAAGTTAGTCACTTCTGTTCTTTCGCGATGCAGTAAGTTAATACACAATCCATAGTCACTTGTGACAAGTGCAGTCATCCTCGCGCATATTTCTATCAGTTACAGATCCGATCTGCGGATGAGCCCATGACGACATGTATGTTATTCTTCTCAAATCAATTTACGACGCTTGACGCTGATCCACTGCTTCCTGGGATCAGTCTACAGGTCAGTGTTACTGGCATCTATGATAGCCAGTTTGATGATCGAGCTCCAGATGCGCCGGCTGTGCCTATCAATGGCGCGAAAATTAAAAAAAAAATTGGGTGCCGAGATGCTTACTAGCACTTCATGATTCTGATGTGTACACCAAAATGTTGCTAAGCCTCTGGCATCCTCAGTCACGTCGGAGCCACCACCCACACTTCCATCTTTGATTCCATTCTTTGTTCACGGGTGTGTACTACCCATCTCACAGAGTTTCTATCTGCGTGGGGGCCGCACATATGAGCTTGCAAATATCATAGTGTGAGGATTTGCACCCACCTCCGAATTATTGCGCCCTGGGACCTCAGTACGGCTCGGTGCTCGCTCCATCCCAGGCTGTGTATACTTACAGTACCCTCGCCCCCACCGTCATCCTCCACGATTTCCCCCAAGCTCGCCACCTAAAAGCCCACCCAGGTGTCATCATATTTCAAACTTTTGCTCTTCCGGAAACTGGTAACTGTCATCATGCCAACGTCAGCATATAACGGGCAGGGTGAACGAATACTACTGCGACCGTTGGAACGGGCTGAATCGGTGACAAACTGACATCATTGGCGGCCGTGGGCGCGCGAATGACAGCGGCAGGCATTCCGCTTTGGCTGACAGAAAGGCTGTACGTCGGAGGCCGCCGTGTCCACTCATCTATGAATATCATAAATCGCCTTCATGGTCAAGTTGATGCTGGAAGTCGATGGACTAGTCGGTGTATACTTGTCTGAGAATTCAGAAAGCCTACATAGTAGGTCAAATAGTAGTCACTGTCAGTCGAGTTGCAATCATGATGACACTTGCAATGCGCTAGTGGTCACTTCTCACGAAGTGAGCAAACAAAGTGCGACCACGGCCGACCAGTCCACTAAGTTAGACTTGAATTAGTTTGCTACAGTGTGCTTTCATGTGAAGGGCTTGCGAATTTCGAAAGCCATGGCCCATCTCGTCCGGACTAGCCGGATTCATCCGGTATTTCCACTGTTCCCAGAATAGAACTTGTCTGTAAAGCCTCACAACTTTTTCATCCATACACACCTTGACTTTTCTCAAACAAACATGTTGGCTCACCGGTCGATCGTTGGTGTTGCGCAAGGCGCATTCAAGTCTGCCCAGGTCGGCCAATTTGTCTTTTCTGGATATTCGGGTTGGCACTTACGTTTACGTTTTAGCCATTGAGACGGTATGCTTCCGCCGCCCCGACTGCAGCTTTTGCTGGGCACAAGGGTAGTAACGTGAGTCTTGCAGCAATCTTCATGCTATAGCCCTTACCAAGTTGGCAGGGCAAATACACTGTGACTTTGATTCCTGGAGATGGTCAGGTTGCTTGTTCAGTGGAGATTCCGTTGTTTGACGCCGGAGTTTAGGTATTGGCCCAGAGATTAGCGAATCAGTCAAGAACATATACGCTGCCGCAAAAGTTTGTTTGCAGTCTCTCATTTGAGATGAACGCGACTTACAAGTTCAATAGGTCCCCATCGAATGGGAGGAAGTCAGCGTCACTCCCGTTCTGAAAGGTGGGAAAACGGTTATTCCGGACATTGCCATCAACTCTGTAAAAAAGAACACTGTTGCTCTGAAAGGTGTGTCTGATTATGACTGAAAAGAAGCAAGACACTAAATCCTATTCTCAGGACCGTTGGCAACTCCAAGTGCGCACCGTTTTCACTGTGATTCACATGTATGCTGAGCGTCCTCAAGTTGGAAAGGGTCACGTCTCTTTGAACTTGACTCTCCGTCGGACGTTCAACCTGTTCGCGAATGTTCGTCCGTGTGTTTCGATCAAGGGCTTTAAGACTCCTTATGACAACGTTGATACCGTGTTGATTCGGGAAAACACCGAGGGAGAGTACTCGGGTATCGAGCACGAGGTAGGGTTCACCCTATGATACATGAGTATTTCTTACGTGAATGTTCTAGATTGTGGATGGAGTGGTCCAATCTATCAAACTTATTACATGGGATGCCTCTGAACGCGTTGCTCGTTATGCCTTCCATTATGCACAGGCTAGCGGAAGGAAGCGAGTCACAGCTGTCCATAAGGCCAACATCATGTGAGTAGTATCTTAGCTAAGAATTACACATGAATACTGATTCAAGACAGGAAAATGTCGGATGGCATGTTTTTGTCCGCATGTCGGCAGGTTTCGAAGGACTTCCCGGGCATCGCCTACGATGAAGACCTTTTGGATCGTGTCTGTTTACAGGTAAATAAACACGAGGCCAATGTGGTGATGAGCACAGCTGAGGACATCTTGATAGATTGTGCAGAACCCCCAACCTTACTCCAACCGGGTCATGGTGATGCCTAATCTCTACGGGGATATTTTGTCGGATATGTGCGCTGGATTGATTGGAGGCCTTGGCTTAACACCGTCTGGTAACATTGGTCGTGTAAGTCGCATTTTCCTTTAAGCGGTTCGAGCTGAAGCCTTATGTCCTCTTCCGTAGGATGCATCAATTTTCGAAGCCGTGCACGGATCGGCTCCCGATATTGCAGGTACAGCTCAACTTCACTTTGGGTGTATAACCAATACTGACGTGGTCAAATATAGGGAAGGGATTAGCTAATCCTACTGCTCTCCTTCTATCTTCTCTCATGATGCTGAGGTACGTGAACCTCAGGAACTGATGCGGGCTTCTAGGCTGATCCGGGATACCTTGTATAGACACATGAACTTGAATGAGCATGCTGCCAAGATCGAAGGGGCCGCTCTTAGTGTAAGGAGTTTTTTCCTATTACGCGTATGTTATGTGCTTACGGTGCGCACACTATAGACGATCGCAGAAGGTCAGACGATTACGGGGGATCTGGGTGGAAAGGCCTCGACTAAGGAGTACACGAATGCGATCATCGACAAACTCGCGAAGGCATGATCGTTCCTGTACGCGTAGAGGGGGCTGTGAGATTTATAGACAGATAGACCGTATTTCTTACCAATACTAGATAATTGGGATCGGCTCTAATCTTCGGTCCCTTGCTTCCGCTACCGACTTGGGCTGCGTGGGAAATAGTAGCCTGCGGATGTGATAGGAAAATGAACTCAGTCAATGTTGACTTACGACGACCAGCTTTAAGATCCTTCCACGCGCCTACACACGGCATTCACTTTTCATAATCCCTCACTCGCCCTACAGGGCAAAGACGACAATAATACTTTCACATTCCTGTCCAACAAGGTTAGCTTGTCAGAACTGGCCTTGGGCAACTGATGAACTCTTGGATAGATAACTTCAGTTCACATTCTTCCACAAAACAGATAATCCAAAAAACATTGAACATCCTGTAATAGTTTCCTGCCTCCGCGCGATACGAACGAAATGACCGACGAATTCATTCAAACACACAACCTGCCGAAGAAGGACGAGAAGAAGCCTTCACCTGTTTTAAACAGAGGTTCAAGGAGAACTTCATCCAATGCTAGACCTTCTTCCGCAGCCGGAAACCTCCAAGGTGCCCCAAGGCCTTCCTCTAGGTCCGGTAACAAGAAACCTCAAACAGGGGCGTCTACTGCTGGCGGTACTGAGTCCGGCTCAGACACCAACAGGAAAGCTCCTGAACAGCCTAAGAAAGCCGAACCTCGTAGCAAGAGTCAGACCGGTGGTGCCACACGAAACGGCAATCACCGTAAAGGGCAACCTTCTGCGTCTCAGGGTACACGCGGCATGACGGGCCATTCCTCTTCGCCTGCACCCCCTTCCGCATCAGAATCGAGTGATGCCTTGTCATCTTTACAGAGAGTCATTGCAGACCTGAAGACAACTTCGCCTCCAAACCAATCTTCCTCACCTGGCATCAGCAATTCGCTCGCTGCCTCTATGCACGCCCCACAAGCACAACCTTCAAACCTTCCAGTCAATGCACCTGTGTTCCAGCCAGGTGCTTCTTCTTTCCCTGGGTCCAGCCTCGCAGATGCTGTTAGACACCGTAAAGCTGTATCGATGGGCACCGTCGGTGTTCCTGGTAACTACAACACCTTCTCGCCTCACCTGGGCGCGATGATGGAAGATGCCGAAGATGGTGCCGGAGGTTTATTTGAAGACGGCGAAATCCCTGAGCAGTTTTATCAGCATCAACAAGGGCACCAGCCTCGCTCTCAGTCTCAAAGTTTCATGGCTCCTCGTTTCGCTGCTCTCGCAGCACAAGATCAGGATGTTCTTGGACCCACTGGTCGTCCGCAGCTCGCCCCTGGCTTCATGTTCGGAGCGCGCAGGAGAACTAGCTCTAATGTTCCCGTTGGTCCCTCTATCAATGAGGAAGATGTCAGATTCCAATTCCCTCAGCAACAGCCTAACTTTCCTCCGGATGAACAACCCCATAGGAAACCTGAAGGTGACTTCACAGGGATCATGGCTGAACAGGTATGTGGTCAATGATGTTGTGTGCTTTGTGTCACTAAAATTATCCTAGATTGCCCTCCAAAACCAGATTGAGGCGCTTCAGCAACAACAACAGGCCTTGTATCAACAGCAGCTCGCTTCGAACCAGGTCCTTTCGCTGCAAACTCCGGGATTGGTCCCGAACAGGCACAGGCGTGTCCAAAGCACATTACCGACCAACATGGGTGGAAATTTAGGTGTCAACGCTTTCAATTCCCCTATGGGCCAATTCAATAGCATGAGCAACCTTGGTCTTGGTCTCGATAACCAGCCAGCCGGTCTTCCACGCGGCCACGGTAGGCGACACAGCGTCAATGTTGTCAACAAATCTAGTCCTGCTCAGGGGTCAATCAGCTTCCCTTACAATGGTCAGGACAGTTTCGATGATGGTTTTGCACCTCCTCCTGGTTTTGGTGGTCACTCTCGCACCACTTCTCGAGTTGATTCTAGCTGGCGCATCAGTATGTTTTATATTCTTTTGCCTGCGGACCTATTATTCATGATTGTTTAGATGGAGGTGTTGGCGCCATCCAAGGCAACAATGCATTCGCCGCTGATCTTGCACAAGCACAAGCACAGCTTCAGAGTTTGCAACAGTTCCGTGCTGCGGCTGGTGGCCACCATAATAAGATGCCATCTTTCTCGTTCCCCAACATGCTTCCCAACATGATGGCTGCGAACATGATGGGTCTGAACATGGGTGGTGTCAGCTTACTGCAGCAGCAGCAACAGCAGCAGCAGCAGTTCCAATCACAGCTTCAGCAACAATCCAACCAGCCACAACGCAAATCTCTTTTCGCTCCTTACCTGCCTCAGGCTTCGCTGCCGCCACTTCTTGCAGCAGGAAAACTAGTTGTTGGGATCTTACGAGTCAACAAACGTAATCGCTCGGACGCATACGTTGCTACTGAGGTTCTCGACGCTGACATTTATATTTGTGGATCCAAGGACCGTAATCGTGCTCTGGAGGGTGATATTGTCGCCGTCGAGCTTCTTGATGTTGATGAAGTATGGGGGACAAAGAAGGAGAAGGAAGAGAAGAAACGCAAGAAGGAAGAGAACTCTGCTTATGACTTGAAGTCGTCTTCAGTACGCCGGGACGACAAGAAAAAGGATGACGTTGAAGTCGAAGGCCAAGGTCTGATGCTATTCGAAGATGAGGAGTACGTTTGCATCGTTTTTCATGTTGGATCATTGACTTAGTCATTTGTTTCCGTTAGGGTTACCGACGATGTCAAACCTCAGTTTGCGGGGCATGTGGTTGCCGTTGTTGAGCGTATGCCTGGTCAACTCTTCTCTGGCACTCTTGGCCTGTTACGCCCTTCGTCCGCTGCGACTAAGGAGAAACAGGAGGCTGAGCGCAGAGAACGTGAAGGCGACCGTGGCGACGAGCCCAGGCGCGGACCCATAGAACGCCCGAAGATCGTGTGGTTTAAGCCCACCGACAAGCGAGTACCGCTCATTGCCATTCCGACTGAACAGGCGCCTGCGGACTTCGTCCAGAACTCGGAGGCCTATGCAGACAAGCTGTTCGTTGCTTGTATCAAACGTCACGTCAGTGTGTTTTGGCAGTTTTATGTCGACTACATTGACACTTCTTCCATAGCCCATTAGTTCGCTCCACCCCTTCGGTACATTGGCTGAAGAGCTTGGCCCCATTGGAGACATTGAAGTTGAGACCAGTGCTCTGTTGAAGGACTGCAACTTCCCTACAGAGGAGTTCTCGGACAGCGTTCTTAAATGCCTGCCTCCTACACCCTGGACGTGGGTTCCTGGTTACCTCTCTCAAGATGTGAGCTAATGATACCATCTACAGTGTCCCAGAGAGGGAGTTTGAGGTCCGGAAAGATCTTCGTGAAGACCGCATATTCTCTATTGATCCTGAGACTGCAAAGGACCTTGATGACGCATTGTCCATCAAGGCCAACGACGATGGCACCTATGATGTGGGCGTGCACGTCGCTGACGTCTCTTACTTCGTCAAGCCTAACACTGCTCTTGACCGTGATGCTCGCAAGAGGGCAACCAGCGTGTATCTTGTGCAGCGCGCCGTCCCCATGCTCCCTCCCACCATTAGCGAAGAGGCGTGCAGTCTTAACCCGGGTGTTGAACGTCTGGCATTCTCAGCTATCTTTACCATGACCAAGGAGGGGAAAATCATCAACAAGTGGTTGGGCAAGACCGTTATTAAGTAAGTGTCATTTTTCCGTGCATTACATAATTGAATTCATTTAATGTTAGGTCTTGCGCGAAACTGTCATATACCGAGGCTCAGAATGCTATCGATGGTCACATTCTAGGTGATCTCGTGGTCGCTCCTGAACACAGTACACCAGCGATCGTGCATGACATCAAGGTCCTGAATGGTCTCGCAAAGCAACTTCGTGCTACGCGCTTCCAGGATGGTGCTGTCGGCCTAACGTCCAAGCGTCTAAAGTTTACCCTAGACGAAAACGGCCGACCAGTAGACTGCGAGCAGACCGAGAACACCGATGCAAACAACATTGTTGAAGAGGTTTGTGTTTAAATTGTACCTGAGCTATATTGAAGACTGATTTGAATAATTGTAGTTTATGCTGCTGACCAATATCACTGTCGCGCAACGCATTGCTGTTCACCTTCCCGAGCAGGCCCTGCTTCGTAGACATGATACGCCGCTCGAGAGACGCCTCGTGAGTAGTAATCCTATCCGTAATCCCATTCCAGTCACAACTTTGTATAGAATCTTTTCGCTGAACGTGCCAATCGACTCAATATCGCAGTCGATGTCTCCTCTAGCGGTGCCATCATGAAGTCATTCGAGGCGATCGCAAACCCGACTGCCCGCATGGTGTTGGAGCTGATCTCCCATAAGGCTACTCAGCGAGCCAAATACTTCTGCGCCGGCATGCTCGACATCGCGAAATACAACCACTATGCCTTGAACGTCCCCCTCTACACTCATTTCACCTCACCTATCCGTCGCTACGCCGATGTTCTTGTACACCGTCAACTCGAATCGGTTTTGCAGGGTGGACGTGAGTCACGCTTCGCAACCATGTCTGTTATGTTTCTGACAAAATCGCAGTGGAGCCCAAATTTTCCATGGACCGTGACGCCGTTGCAAAGATTGCTCAACAGTGCAACATGTTTGTGTCATTTTATTGATAGCTAGTCTGGTGAACTGACTTTTATGAACAGTAAAAAGGACTCGGCGAAGTTGGCGCAGGAGCAGTCGACCCATCTCTACTTGTGTGTTCTAATCTCGGATCTCACCCAGCGATATGGTCCTGTCATTCGTCCAGCTACGGTTGTTGGTGTCCTTGAAGCTGCTTTTGACGTCCTTGTTCCCGAGTTTGGCATTGAGAAGCGGGTCCATGTGGATCAAATGCCTATTGACGTAAGCATTTCAGAACTGACTCATGAGAAGAAGTCTAATCATTTGAACTAGAACCACGTTTACGATGAGCATTCGCATACCTTGCAGATCTATTGGTCGAACAAGGACGTCCTTAGCTGGTTGGCAGAGAACAGCGATGACGAGCACCTGAAGAAGGTTAAACAAAACGCCGAGGCCCACGCTGTCAAAATGGAAGTTGCATCTCGCTCTGTGCATGACGAGAAGGCCCTCTTTGACGAGGATGATGCCGATGATGATGAAATTGTGTTAGGAAGGGACATGGAAGCTGAGAAGGCACCTGAGACCTCGAAGCAAAGGCTGTTGTCTGCCGCCAAAGTCCAGCCTGAGTTTGAGGGATTGAGGACCACACCAACTGGCCACAGGATTCAGGATATCAAGGAGCTCATGACTGTTCCTGTGCGTATTTCTTCTGAGTGATCCATATACATTTTGTTGACTCGTACGCAAGGTTATCGTAACCGCTGATTTGACCAAGAGCCCGCCTGTCATCAAGGTGTATAGCGTCAATCCTTACGCGGAGCAGAAGAAGTGATACTCTGCATCCCCGAAGAGAAAGGCGTTTTATGTGTACGATAACCGTTTGATACTCCATCATGCTCTCTTTTCCAATTCCATATGTTACTAACTCATGGTCTGTACTAGTATTCGGTCATCACACGATTTCCTTGTTACATTCTCTCCTTCGCTTCGCCATTATGCCGTTGTTGTCTACAGGCCCTATGTTCGATCGTGTCTTGCTATACTATAGCATTAGTTCTTTGTTAGTGGTATGAAATCTAATGTGTTATCTTTTGCTCTGAAGTGGCCTGTGAATTGTGATTGTTCGATCAAAACGATTGAATAGATTGTGTATTCTACAATATCATAACAGTGAGTATCTTTTAGCACTATAGTAAATGAGCGTGAATAAGTATATGCATATGCAAGATGCCCGTGGATAAGTCAAATAAAGAAAACAAAGTCCAGAAAATAAAGTCAGTCATATCAATCATCACGCATATCATATCCAAGAAGTGATTGCAGCTTGTCGGGAGTTCGGGGTATTTGCTCGGTTCTGTGCTCCGCCCAGGTTACGTTCACGAGGCGGAGGTGTCGCTTCCGTCGATTTTCTGCTGGAGCGAGAAGATGAACGGCCCATTTCGCAAGGTTCACCACCTTCCTGGACGGTGTGTAGGGAGTGGAAGGAAGTAGAGCTACTCATGCTTCCAGCACGTGCATGGATTGCCGTACTGCACCTATTGCATATCTCGTCATTGCATAGCTTGAACAGCTCGTCCAGACCAAGATAGTTGGCCTCATCACGAAGCTCGAGTAATGCCACGAGTCTTGCCCGTGACGAGGACGCAAGTTGGATGGCTCTAGGAATAATGGCCGGGTGTTCTGAAACAAAAGGGGGAGTGCGGAGATACGACAAGATGTGCGCGTATCTAGAATGATGGCATTGAGGATTATACACAGTCAGAAGTGGGAGGTACTTACGGAGCACTCGGCCTGTCGAGGAATACATGTATATTCATGGCTGACTGTGATATAGCCCCAGAAGACGCTAAATGATCATGAAACATGGCATTGAAGGAGTTGTGTGGAAGTTCAGAAATATCGCTTGCATTAGAGTATAACGATGCCGCAACTGATTTTCGTGGCAAGAGGGAAGTGACATAATTTGAGAGGTAAGAAGGCCTTGAAATAAGAGTACCGAGTGTCGTGCGGTGCGTTGCTGAACTTGTCTCTATGGTCACGATAATCTTGGAAGGATCGATCGCACTGCTAGGGATAGGGGACAGCAGAATAGGTTCAAAGGGAGGTTGGGGAGGCGTAGTAGAGACATTAACAGGAAGAGGTGGTACGGGAGGCAGGGCCTCTACCAAAGACGGGGAGGTCTTTGCTTTAATGACTGGACGAAGGATCATGGATGATGTCGTTGGCGCAGGGGGAGGAGGACGGGTTGGACATGGTGGTATGGATGCATCTTTCGCCGGAAGACTCGATGAACTACTATGTGTGGAGGTGGATATAGTTGAAATTGACGACTCAAGGGAAGCCTTCGACGGCACAGGTGGCGGACCACCCGAAAGTGGAGGTAAGTCCATTGCCTCTTCAGAGGGAGCCTCAAAAGCGGACCCCCGTTGACTGCCATTAACTTCATCACCAAACAGAGCGCTCGTACCAGACAGCGCCTCTTGTGGTGTCCTCACAACCATGGCGCCGCTTCCAAGAGGCCCACTACGTTTGACATTGAAGATATCCAAGGAGCTGTCAAACCTAGGTTCTGATATGCGAACTGGTGCAGCTACGACACCATGTGGCGAAGCATTGGAAGAAGAACTCGTATTGCGAGTCAGCCAGATCATTGGCCTCGAGACTGAAAGTTTGTGACCTTTTTGAGGTGTAATTTGAGGTGATACTGGTGCAGAAGATAGAGAGAAATGATGCAGAGCTAGCTCTGTTGTTTGTGAGCTGGATGGATGCTGAGGACGACTTGGAATAATCATGAAGGGAGTTAGTGGAAGCCGAAGAAGGGTAGTCGTGGACGACTAAGAGAAGATTAAGGCGGTCAAAGAGCACAAACCCGTTAAGAAGTTAATGAACAAAAATATTAAATCAAATTGTTGTTTTCAGTTATCCGAAGAACAAAAAGATTAGAAAATGATCGGCGCTAATGTACAACACTTACCTCTTTGGGGCAACAAAGATTTAAAGCACTCGTGGGAATATTGACAATACTTGCTGGCATGACTTCTACGGTCACCACAAAATTCCAGACCGCTTTACCCTTCGCACTTCTTTCAATTTCACCCAGTCTTGCTTCCCTTCATGCTTCTCGAGCACGTTCTCTCTACCCAGAAGAGTCTGATTCTTCATCCGCCATGAATTGTCTGCGGTGTGGTTCATATCTGTTGGCCGCCGATGGCTCTGTAGAACTCCACAGACCAAGAAAAAGGAGAAAGGTTGCTGACAAGAAATCAAACGCCATAAAGACTACTTGTCATCGTTGTGGCTTCATTTCCTATACTTCATTTGATAAAAGAGAGACATTCCCTCGGTCAAAGCCTGCCACTGGAGCCGAACTATCACTACCATCGTCGGTGCTTTCGGTGCCCGTTTCATCTCAGTCAGAACGCAAACCGAAAAATGAATTGATACCGTCTTCGTCACGTTCTTCCGTGCCAGTTGGTTTATCCCCTGTGGCACATTTAACACGAGGAACTACACCTGACCTGCACACGAAACCCAAAAAGAAGACAACAGTATTGCAGGAGATGCTGGCTCGTAATCGAGAGAAAGAGGCTGTAAGAGCAAAATACCAGCAAAAATCATCACCAAGTGGCCTTGTATCATTCCTGAGCTCACTACAATGATAAAAAGGTGCGCTATTAATCTTCCATATGACTACACCGTGTTTTCGAGACCTGACATCTTCAACAGTTCCCTGATGAATTTTAGCGGATGTGTCTCAGGCTTGAGCGCACTTGGATGAAGCGGTTGGGTAATCAGGAAATGCAGAAGATCGCCCCTCCGATGGGGTAGACAACGTATTGGAAGTTCACGCTGAAACAATACGTGGACAGCATGGTATTTGACCTTTTCAACTAATATAGTGGCCGGTTCATTGATCTGAAGCGTGCGCACGGAGTACTTGTACGGCTCTGGCACGAACGTACAGTAGCTTCCCTTGCAATGGAGAGAGAAATGGCTGAACGATACCCTCAACAAATTCGCTCCGCGGCCCCTCTGAAAATCCACCATCCGTCAGTCAGCACTGACACAATCAACTTCCGCTTTTTGTTGTGCTCCTATTAGTAACATTTTCTTCATCACTATGATGAAGTCTCAGATATTTTAGGAAATTTGTGCCGACGATCAGGATCCGAGGAGAAGGGGGGAGGATCACTGACCATGACCTAATTTTTTTCATCTCATTTACTACTTTTCAGGTCGCAGTAAACTGTTGTGAGATGTCAAATTTCAAAACTTTCAGTCACCCAAACTTCAGGGTTCTCGAGCAGCATAATGAAAGATACAACCATTCCTCGGAAAATAATACATTTGTAGGCTTCGAGGGGAGATGAAGAACGGTCCGTGTTGGTGCATCCGCTGCTGACAGTCTCACTGCACGCCGGTGAATGATACTAGACAGTGAGGGCATGAATGTTCACCTGAATGAGGTGCCGAGAAGAGAAGATGTCAATGAGTGCTGATTCTTCGGTATTAAGTCGTAGAAGGCCTGTATCATAACATGGTGATGCTCGCTTCCGTACAACTGCGCTCAATGTAATCTAACTAACTTTAGGGAACTGTTTCCGGGTCCTGTCTGCCAGTGGCCCCGGTGTCTCACGACATCAACGCCTCCATAAATTTTGAATGAAGTGGAAACGCCATGGCTATTCTTTTATTCCCTTCCTATTTTGCCTGCGTCACGATCAGCTGCTTACGAGGAAAATCCCATGTTCTGAGGGTAACTGTATGTACCTTTGTCTGGGTGACATCACGAGCGGTGTGCTCACCATCCGGGAGGAGCTTGATAGATTGATCGATTGCGTCCAGAGGATACGTCCACAGGCTTGGAACATCCCCAAGCAACCCGCAGGCGTAACACACCCTTCTTGTTATTTCCAAGGCCTAGTGGCTGTACCTTACATTTTAAAGCTGCCACAACTATTATTGGTTCTGGTAAAATCTTAAGCAGTGCGCTCAACCTGTGACAGAAATTTTGATTTTTACGGACCGCTCATGCAGCTACACGGACCAGACCTTATCGATGAAATAAATCTATGACCAGCTGGGAGCACATCTTTTTTCAATGTTCAGGCATTCAAGATGACTTGTCGCAGGCTCCAAAGGCTGTCCAGCAGAGCATCACGAGCCTCTTGAAGATCCCCTTCCTCGTAGCTTCGGCCCTTGGCGACCATTTTTTATGTAAAAAAAGGAAAACCCCCACTTTTATTGCGAGTAGTCTTGCCACCGCGATCGGGGGCGCGTTGACGTTTTATTGCATATTGACGTCAGGAAAACTTTGGAGCTTCCAACTCAGCATCAGGAAGTGCACAAACCTGTGACAAGCGGGCCGTACTTTGTGGTTCGGCACCCAAAGCTATACTGGTCTCCCTCTCACAAAATATGGGGACCATCGTCATGTACGAAAGCCAAGAGGCGTGGATGAGACAATCTGGGATTATTTTTTAATTCCCTTTCGCGAGAGCACTGATCAATGCATGCAGCTGACTCTCCTCGCCAGTACTCGCCGCTGAGTATATAAACCAATGACAACACTACTATAGTCCGTAAAGTATCTATACAATACTATGTATAAGTTTCTTGAAATGAATGTAATGTACCAAAAAAATTAAATGAGCGTGGCTACCTCAAGGGTTACACTAGAGAAGGGCTAGAAATGGATGATTCCTTCTGTTCTTTAACGTAGGGGTGCGCTGACTTGATGAACCTTCCGGGCCAGAATGGAACGTACACAACGATAGCCAAGCAAATGGGAATCGTATCACCCAGATAGAAGGCTGCCTCACTTGTGCTAAGATTGCCGCGGAAGCCTTGACTAGCCTCCACAACACGGTAGAAAGAACGAATCTATCAATTCATTAGTTAAAGACTATAAGATTACTGTCTACATGGAACACGAACCAGAAGTCCGATAGAACTGACCGACAAGGCAGCGGCCAGTGTTCGCCAGTCGTTATACCAGGGTTGCTTTGAGTCTCGCATGCAGACATCCTGTTCCTCGGTGTAGACCCTGTAGAGGAATCGTGCATAAATGGCACAAAAGAAAACGAAGGAGACCAGTTGCATAATGAGGCCAATCAAAAAAATCTGATAGATATAGTTAGACCAGATTCCCACAGGCAAACGCTAGGCGCAAGGACATACGTGAAGTCCCGTCGATGCCGAACTTTGAACCTTGGACGTAGTCAATGAAGCTCCTCCCGCCTTGACAACACATCATCAGAGAAGGTCATTAAAAAAATCCAATACTCACCTGGATGACAAAGGTAGTCACGTCGGACAAGACGAATATAAGGGTGAGCCGCTTCACTGGAAGCAAGACGTGATGAGCGCAGTCGATTTCACCGGCAAGGCGACCAAGGAGAGTATAATTCGCGGCAATGAAGAAACAGGGCTTTTTAAGGGTCAATACATGTTCATAGTCACAGTTTGGTGCTGACTCACAGACAACACGATCATCAAGTCCTCAGATATGAAAATCCCCAATGAGTCAGGGCTATGATGCAAAGCGAAGCGAAACGCAAAGCCGAGAGCATAGACTATAACCAACATGAAGAAGAACCAAAACAAGCAAAAAACCGCCATGTACCGTATTCCCCGATGACCATGGACAACATGAACTTTCCGCCATTATAGATTACCTGATAAGTCTGAATGAGAACAACCAACAGCACATAAACTTCACACCATAAGTTTTGTGTTTCCCTGACTTGGTGGTCACTCACCAAAGGCGACAACAGTGAGTGTATTGTTAGCGATATATCCGAGGGCATTGCATGGGTCGGTTCGTGGGTCTAGATAAGGATCAGAGGGACATGTCACAGAATTGGTGGCTGCCTGAGCCGATGTGACAAGAAGAGCCAAGAGAAACAAAGTGCTCGCTAAGATTGGGCCAGCCATGAAGAAGGAAGACGAAAGATAAGAAGACGAAATATGCCCTTCATAGTTCAACGAGCTTGGCTTTTATGCTTGAACGAGTCCAACCAAAATATACACCACAACCGTGCGGTGCCAAACGATATCCATGGGCACCACGAGGCAGTGAGTTTTGACACCCCATGCACGCATAGACTCATCTGAGGTTTACCGTAACAATGAACAGCCAGAATATTTTGAAAATCATACCTCTCAGAGAGTAATGTACCTGTGGCATTGTGGTATGGCCACTGGAGGTTCTCAGGGTCCAGGCGCTCAAATGGTATATGACACTCTGTCTGCGAAGTCAAAGTAAGTATTCAATTAACCAGAGCTAGGACTGGATAAATAATAAATCTACGAGAATTGAAGCGTGGGTCAGAGGTTCGTCCATGCTAGAAACTGCCTCCGAGCTCCAATATAGTGGTTGAAGCGCTGAAGTCGGAGAGGTAGTCGTGTATTACTTGCTGTACAGGAAATCTAGACACCACTGTATGTGCGGACAGCTCGGAATGCCACAGTTGCCCAGTTGTGTGGCGGGTTGGAGCCGTCGTCTAGGTAATATAGTATGGTTAAGCACAGGTCCAGGAGAGAATAAAAATGCGACATACTTCGAACATTCTCGATGCAGGCAGGCTGTTATCCTAAAGCTATTCCGCAATGATTGATCAAGATTCAAGCTTTGAAATTTGAAATTTCGAGTCATGTGCATATGACATTGACACGTGATACTAGAAGTCACGCGCCTGGTCACACCGGGACCCCCTGAGGTTGCTCACGCAGCTTTGCCAGACTTTTCAGGGTGACAATACCTGCTGCTGAATCATGATGCACCCAAAATCAAAATCTTGCGTGGGATTCATTCAAGTTGCATAGATTTATTTATGCAGGGCCGCTGGTAGCATTTGCGCCGGACTAGTATCCACACTGAATTAATAGAATGTGACCCCGTCAGTCAGAACGAGCGGGAGGCATTCAAGTAAGCGGTAGTGAGGTGATACACTGTATACTTGGTGTGAGACAATGCCGACCCTCGCGGATGGAAAATGGTTCATTCAGTGAAAATCAGTCTACTTAGTACTCGTTCTCTCCCGGGTTACCAGTATCTTCAAGTATGTACTCTGTGATACTCAGACCATATAGAAGGAAGACAACCGCTCATTCTATGATGACAATGAGTACTCTACTTACGCGTGGTAATTCAAGTTTCTTTTTGGTGGATAAGCGAGTCTATTATAATTATACAGCAACTGGCACCTCTACTTAAACGCATAAGGCGGTACCTTGGCACCGTCCATGTTGATTAACAAGCACTCTCGCCACTGAAACAACATACGTGAACTAACACTACCCGAGCTGCAAGGTCCTTATATAGCACCTATTTGTGTGCTATGAATATCCTGATATAATAAGTAGACTGAATAATAAATAAAAGCAGTGTGTAGTCAGTAGTCACTAAGCACCCCTGTGCGTACTTCATGATTGTAACCTAAATCACTGAGAGAAAATGCCGACTCCTGACCACTCTGCGATTCGTTGGCGGAGGGCGCTAGCTTGGCTGTAATGAACCTTCCGGGCCAGAATAGAACATAGATCCCGATGGCTACAAGAAGGGGAAGTGTATCGCCTAGGTAGAAGGCTATCTCGCTTGATTCGAGACTGCCGTGAAAGCCCTGAGCGGCCTCCGCAACGCGGTAGCATGAACGAATCTGAAAAAGCGTTTGTTAAAGGCCACAAGGTTGCTGCATGGAAGACAAACCAGAATGCCGATACAACTGATCGTCATGGCAGCGGCGAGTGTTCGCCAGTCGTTATTCCAGTGTTGCTTTGAGTCTTGCATCCAAATAGCCTGCACTTCAGCGTGAACCTTGTAGAGGAATCGTGCGTAAATGACACAAAAGAAAAGGAATGAGGCCAGTTGCACAACGAGGCCAGCCAAAAAGACCTGACAGAGATGATTAGACCTCACTCGGATTGAGACAAACGTGGGTACAAGAAACATACATGAAGTCCTATCAAAGCAGAATTATAAACGGTGGACGTAGTCATCGAGGCTCCTGCCGCCTTTGACAAAACACCATCAGAGAAGCTCGCTGAAAAAACATGATACCCACCTGTATGACAAAGGTAGTCACGTCGGACAAGAGGAAAATGAGGGTGAGCCATCTCACTGGAAGCAAGACCTGACAGGTGCAGCCGATGTCCCTGGCAAGGCGACCAAGAAGAACGTAATTTGCGGCAATGAAGAAACAGGGCTTCACAAAGGATCAGCAAGTGAGCATTATTGCGGTTTGACGCTGACTCACAGATAAAACGATCATCAAGTATTCGACGATGTAAATCGCCAGTGACTCAGGATTATAATGCAAAGCGAAGCGAAACCCAAAGCCTATGGCATAAACTACAGCCAAATATCAGAAAGAGCCAACACAAACATGAAATTGTGACGTGCTGTATTCCCCAAGGACCATGGGCCACATCCACCTCGCACCCTTATAGATAATTCGGTAAGTTTGGATGAAAGCGATCAGCAGCACAAGACCTCGAAACAGTGAGTTACGTGCGTCCCCAAGCTTACTGAATACTCACTAAAGGCGACGGCAGTTGGCGGAATGCTAGCGATATAGCCAAGGGCATTACACGGGTCGTTGCGCGGGTCTAGGTAAGGATCGGAAGGACATTGTGTAGAATTGCTGGCTGCCCGAGTCGAAGTGACATAAGTCAAAAGAAGAGTCAAGGAAAATAAAGTACTGGTTAAGATGGAGCGAGCCATGAAGATGCTGATGATGCTGATGATGAATGCCATCTATCGAACAAACTCGGTTTTTATGTTGGAGGACGAAAGAGGGTCCATCAAAAACTTCGCTGCGCAGCCCGACACCGTAGTCATTCATGTGAATTGTGAGGCAGTGAGTGAAGATGGCCGCAGTATAGAACTCATCATAAGTTCACTGCGGTAATAACATTTGGGACGGTTTATAAAATCAATATCTTACTCGTTATTAAGAATTTATGAACATTGATGTGTCCGTGATAAGATTGGTGGCATTGCCTTTTCTTAAGGTTTGGGAGCCCAAAGGGTATATAATTCCATGTCTGCCGGGTCAAAGCAGGTGACCAAAGCTATGTCAGAGCGAATGGTGATTTTACGAGGAGTGTTCAAATTGACTGGCAGACTGCGGAGTGTGGGCCGCAGAGGTTCGTCCATGCGGTAGAAACTGCCTCCAGACTCCGATATAGTAGTCGAAGTTGGAGAGTTTGCTGCGTGGTCCTTGATATGCATGATCAGTAGATGATTTCGGAAGTTCCCCTATCTACTAACCTCTGTGGGATGCTGTTTGCGACCTCGCAATTCTGGGATTGCTGCGGCACTGCCCACTCCGGAATCGTCTAGGCAACAAAATTCAACATGGGAAAGGTAGGGGACAGCATACTTCCGACCATGAAGCTTGTTTCTTGACGCAGCAAATGGATGTTGAGCTGACATATTGTCCTGTGCCTATACTTCAATGGCTACGGTGGTATGCAGCAAGTTAAGTTGGCGTGTGTGACATTTGACGCGGCGTGACGCTACAGATAACGCGACTGGTCACACCCGCGCCGTCTGGTCCTGTGGCTCCGATCTCCCTTTCGATATTGCCACTATGAACATCTTCAAGAGTCGTAAGTGCAGTCGTTTTTTTGGTCTGTATACTTCTAATATTTTCTGCTATAGTCCTTGGAAAAGTATGGCGTACGTTCGATCTTGCTAGAAGATATGTCCGATGGCCTGACCTTACTACTCTCAGAGGACCCCAATGCTGCCGAAGTCGTCAAGATCGAGATGGGCCAGTTGTACCTTGTCAGGCCGGGGAACATCCGGTCATCAAGGGAATGCATGTGCGAGCTTCTGTCGGTGCATCATCTAATTGTCCCTGATTTCATTACAGATACAACGAAGCAATAGCGACCATACGCCGTGTCCCCGCACTCGACCACAATTTTCAGCTAGTCATTACACGAGTATATGAAGATGGCGATCAGGAGCTTCTCGAAGATGAAGACGAAAGTGCGTAAATCTATTGGATACGTCATCTAGCACAGGCTTTCACACGTGACGAATGATAGCTGATGAAGAGAGGGTGTTCTTGATCAGTGAAGAACTTGAATTCCATTCTGGGGTGACAGACGATGAACCAACTTTCATTTGGCGCGACCTCGATGGGGATGTCGACGAATTGTACGAATTCGTAGCCTCGGGCACCAACGAACCGACTCGCGCGTTCTTTGAGACTTGCATGTATCGCGCAATGTACGAGCGCAAGTTCAAGGCAAGTGCGGATAACACAAAGGACTCTGACTTGGATCAGTTTATATGGCAGTTAGCGCTTCACGTCATGTCGCCCTTAATCGCTCCCTGATAACGTTTTCAGACCTGTCGCAAAAGCTAGGGGCAAAACCGGTAACCGGAAGTCGCCGAAGAATCAACAAGACTTCGGGGACCTTCCATCAGACACTGTGGACGACTCTACGGTCCAGCCACAAGCGATGCCGAATAAGACACCAAGTGCAGCGGCGAGGCCATCCTTTGCGAGCTCCTCACTCCCGACAGTCACTTCTCAAGAAGGCCATATTTTCTCCTGGAACCTGGAAATAGAAGGCTTTGTTGCCGAGCGCGAGGAAGTTGTTGTTGCCAAAATCGTTGAGCGCACCCCTGGCAACTTCAATTATTGGCTCATAATCTCTGATGAGGATGGCGATTTCGTTTCTGACAAAATTTCTTCGGATATGAATCCTCGCTGGGCACCAAAGACATCATCATTAACATGGAACTATGCCAACGGCGGCAGATATGATAGTTGGGCTCTGCAACTCGCATCTACAGAAGCTTACGACGCATTTAAGACGGCCTTCGCTCAATGTCTGTGGGAAACATTGCATGGCGTGGAATTTCGAAAGGCCAAGGTAGAAATCTCGCGATTTCAATATTTCAAGTTGTTTACTGTGCACATAGCCCGATGAGCAAGCCTACGTTATCAGTTCAACAACTGAAGATATTGAAATGCACGACGTAGAAGATGATGGCGAAGACGAAGAAGAGGTTGAATCAGAACTTGACCCTGACGAAGGTACGTGGATTCTGCTATTGCATATGGGAAACCCCTGAGTGGCGTCTTAGAAGCGAGTGAGGAGGAGGAAGAAGAGGAAGATGATGCTGTTTCTCCCATGCCACAAGGGGAACGCAACTCACAATTAACGATCGGATATAAGGGCGACCGCTCTTATGTTGTCCGTGGGAATAATATTGGCGTCTTCAGTCACTCCAGCGACGATCAGGTGAAGTACTATGCGACTATTAGTAAAATCTCTACGCCGCAGGGCAAAGAATTCAAGCCACAGGAGGTATCTTAATTTCAATTCCTTCGCATGATGACAAGTTCTGAGATCATCATCTTTTCGTGCAGGTCATGTTGCACGATCAGGACACGAAGATGGTCCTCAAGAATCCTTTGGATCCTCATTCGTTATTCAGCATGGACATTGAACGAGGCAAAGTGGTCGAAGAGTGGAAGATCCACGAAGATATCACAGTCGATCACATTGCCCCCGAAAATAAATTCGCTCAAACTACTCGCGAGCAGACTCTTGTCGGTGCTTCTCACAATGCGCTGTTCAGAGTAGATCCGCGTATCTCTGGCAGCAAGATGGTTGAGAGCCAATACAAGCAATACGTCAGCAAGAATAAATTTTCTGGGGTTGCTACAACAGCCAGTGGCAAGTTGGCAGTGGCAAGCGAAAAAGGAGATATCAGACTTTTCGATACAATCGGGAAGAATGCGAAGACAGCTTTACCACCTCTCGGTGATCCTATTCTTGGTATCGACGTCACTGCCAGTGGCCGGTGGATTGTCGCAACAACAAAGACTTACCTGTTGCTCATTGACACTCTTATCGGCGAAGGGAGATACGCCGGAAATCTGGGTTTCGATCGTAGTTTCCCCGCTAACGCCAAGCCTATGCCACGAAGACTTCAACTTCGTTCTGAGCACGTTGCATATATGAATCATGACATCAACTTCTCCGTTGCGCGGTACGTGCCTTTAGGAGTGGCCACGACCTCGACTGACTTTACCGAAACCGTAGCTTCAATCAAGGCGAGGGGCAAGAAGAGAATGCCATTGTCACCGCAACAGGGCAGTATGTCATCGCATGGGACTTCGCGAAGGTTAAGAAAGGGCACCTTGACAAGTATGAGATTAAGAAGTACGAAGACATGGTCGTTCAAGACAATTTCAAGTTCGGGGATGATAAACAAATCGTGAGTGTTCTGCAGTCTGTAACGGCGCAGCGCACTCATGCAGATCACTGCAGATCGTGGCCTTGCAGAACAACGTCCTTGCAATTAACAAGAAGAACCTCAAACGGCCCACGAGAAATTCGCTTGCGGCCCCTATGTCTATTCTTCACAGTCGGTCGGGCATTGTGAATAGTCCGTACTAGACGATGATTTCTGAGACGGGATTGTTGTGGTAGTTGTATGTATTGCGGATTGTATACCTAACGTCTTCAGTAACGTAGGATAGGTGTATCGCAGAAGTTCTCTAAATATAAATGAAGATGTATATAATATTCTCTTCTATTCCTTTTCATTTGTAGTAACGTCGGGTTGTCTGTCGCGACTATCAACATATCTCCAAATTCCAAGATGCCACATGATCCGGGGTATCATAAGACTAAATCCAAGAACAATGGTGGTCCAAAGCATTGGACTCCACTGTGAAATATCCCATCTCTCATCTCCGAGAGCCCACAGCGTGACAAAGAGGTGCATACAGTCTCCCATAAGAAGGGGAGTCATGAGAGCAAATATGATATTCTCTTGGATAGCGAGTTGCGTCGAGAGATTCTTCCGGATGGCCGTTAAGACAAAAAAGTTGACGACCCCCATGAGTGCACAGACGTGAGCTAGTTGGATTACAGTCACGATGGATGCCTTTGGAAGGCTAGTAGGTGGGGGACTATGCGCTGGCCATGGTGCTTGTGTATTGTGCGTCTGTCAGGTGGTTATCAGATGTTTGACTGAAGGAGGAGACTATCACACTCACTGTTTCAGGGTCGTGCACTGCTCCTATGAACCCGAGTATCGTCAAAGCAGGTTCATAGAACGCGAAAAGGGCATAGTAGAAGTCGGGTATAGCTGATGCCGACGGCTGCATTGAAAACACAGGAGTGTCGACTACAGGAACTGCTGGTATCAAACGCAAGATTTTTGCGCGATAGCTAGTGTACTTGAAGTCTGGAAAGTAGCAGACAGTACTTGTGACGACCAGGATGAGCCCGTGAAATGCCGCTGTGAAACAGTTTGAAATAAGTAGCCCGTGGGCTCGGCAACCCAATATTAGTAAAAGCCAACAGGTTAGATAAGGATCAGGGCGTCTTTCTGAAGCTCACGATTGTTTTGTCTCAAGTGTCTCTTATATGCCCAGCTCGGGGCCCGGGGAAGAAGTTCACATAGAAGCTGACGCGGACGGTCTTAACAACTATTATAGCAGCAGACGTACGTAACAGTTTAATTCGCTTTACTCGCTCTGACATTGTCTGACCGGCCCTAAAGCTGATTAGTTTTCTCATCGTGCAATTTCTTCGTCTTCTTCATCTTACAACCTCAGGTCTATCTTAAACCCAGGTGGCCAGCTAATCATTCGATGTTGATCCACTAAATGGCGAGGACCGAGACCATTCTTCTACCAGAAGATGAGGGTATAATGCATGGCTTGTTATCCACTTCTGCGAGTCTGTGCTTCGCGCCTTTCTAACATTACAATATGCGTTTCAACTGTAGACTTTGTATTATGATTAATATCGATCGATTCTTTCATTGATAACCATAAATTGCGACCAGCGCAGCAAATAGCTTGTTGGACTTATCAGAAATACAGTGCGGTAACTTAGATTCTAGAATACAGACTACTAGGGGGTTGTCCGCAAGCTGCCCGGAGGTATCGGTAATGTCTACTTCGTACAAACATAATATTAGCCGCTCAATAGACCGTTCAGCTGTTTTCGGGCTTCTTCCATTACCCTCTCCGCTTCGTCGTCCTCCAGTTGATCTTGTGGTGTCTGCCACAAAATTCAGAATAGAACTACTCAAAACAAGAACATGACCTACTGGTAGTTCCGTTCCGGCTGACCCAGCTAGCCCAAGTTTCCCGTTGGTGAGGTCGAAAAGTACCTTGTCAACTTCAGCGTCTGCCTCTTCTTCTATATCTTCGTCTTCGTCCATTTGTAACGTGTCTTCAAGCATTTCCTCCATGATCCCAGCCTGTGGTACAAGTCAGATAGTCAGGGGAGCACTATAGAGAAACAGCACACCTTTGTCATCTCCATACTCATTTCCCGCATCACTTGACTTATCTGGGGTAGTTTGACAAGCGAGTTGGATAGTTTCATAATTTCCGTAGACTTCTGCAACGACCCTGTAACTTTGGCCATAGCTGCAGAGTCATAGCATGTAAATCAGCCAGACTTCAAATTAAGAGTATTCGCTCACCGAGCTGCTGCTGTAGCTGGGTACCGATCGATCCCAAGCGTGCTTTGCTAACAGACAATCTGTCTTTCTGCTTATTACTGCGGACGACCTCCTTGGCGAGGATTCGCGCAGACTTCACATCTCCCTTGGAAGCAAGCTGCTTCACCGTCGTGCGTGCCTTTGCAGTCGCAGCTTCGAGCTGTACCTGAGGGATTAACGTGGGATATGAGCACTACAGAACAGGGTGCCGACCTGCCTCATCTCCCTGTCCAGTTGTCGGCTTTCTGAACGCAGTTTTCCTTGCCATGCGCGCACTCTCTCTTCAGGTGTCGGTCCATAGAAAAAGCGGTTAATGGTCTGCATGAGAGATCGAGTGCTGTAGCTGAACTGGAGAATGTTGCCTCTTTCGGTTTTCAAGGGTAATTCGGGCTTGGCACCACATCATCTTCGGCGTCTCTTGAGACCTTCTTTCCTACATGATGCAGTTTAAACTTGTCTAGTGGACCTTTCGATATCATGCTACATGGATTGTCGCGCTTTGGACGTTTTGAACACTTACTACCAGATCCGAACAAGCTTGCTCCAGCGGCTAACATGGCGGCTGACTGCTTCGACAGTGCATATAAACACCACTCTTCCGACATGGTCCTCCAGAACACCTTGGCTGCTCTTCACGAGGTTCAAACAATATATCCAGACGCTAGATCCGTGCAGGTTCACTTCGCTCACAATGTCAATCCAACGGCTCCTAAGCCTAATCCTATTTCCGTCCTTTGCCCGTGCCGCCATAGAACCTGTGTCCCCCGGTCCCGGCGACGTGTTCAGATCTGGATCACCCTGTCCCATCTCTTGGAATACCGACCGGTCCGGCCCCACCCAGTCATGGAAAAACGCAACCATATGTATGCAATTACATTACTCGTCCTATTTTTATTTTCACATTGGTTACTATGCAGACCTCATGTCTGGCTCCAACGGGAACATGTCGATGGTCACGACCGTTGTCGAGCATCTAGATGAGACTAACATGACATCGTATAACTGGCTATGCCCTGACGTGGCACCCAATGCAGCCATTTACTTTTACCAGGTATGGTGCATAGCCATATGAGTCCCATATGGTCTTTTACTGAAACAGGTACACCAGTTTTCGAATAACGGGGTACCGACTGGATCCACTTGGACGTCTCGATTCACAGTAAGCATGATGGTAAATCCTCTACGTGTAGAAGCTGATTATAGAGCTTCTAAGATTGCTTCGTATTCTGGCAACACCACTCTTCCTGAAAACAGCAAGCAGCCTGACAGGGCTCCTATCCCGTGGGGCGTCGGACATCTTGTAACCCCCAAGAGCACGAATCCCTCGAGCCCAAACGTTTCACCTCGGAGCCGTTCATTACCAATCCCTCCATGCGAAACACTAAAACATCATCAATGCATGACATCCCCGGAGGACGCTTCGTTCTCCCATACTAAAAGTCCCGCTAACCCCCCTCTTCGACAACGCATAGTCTTGCGCCCCACCGTAACAGATCAAGTCAAGCCCATGCGAGAGAGAAGACCTTCAAGCAGAGGTAGTCGCGGAGGCCCTGATCTGAGCGTGCATATCCTATGTGCTCTGGCAACATTGTGGTTGATGGTTTTGTAGATCAGGAACGTAGATATGGCTACAAATTTGTACTACTACCTGCCTGTAAAAATAAGTAATAGAGAAAGAGACTAAATATCTACAGCGCAAAGTAAGAGTGCACTATAAAAAAATAATATGAACAGATCGATAATATGATATACACACAGCAAACACAGATTAAAGTTGCGGTCCAGCCTTGATTTGATTGACCAGTGCTTCCCAGTAACTCCAATCTGAACCATCCACTTCCATCAAACCAGGATCCCCAGTCATTGGATTGTTATTAGGTCCTATCCAGCCTGAGAATTCAGCACCACCAGGCCCTCCCCAAGATAAAGCAGGCATGCCTGCTGTCGCATCGACTACAGGACCCCCACTGAAAGTGCTACACCAATGATCCAAGAGAGACTGAGCAGCTGATTCTTCCTCCCCACTCGGACTGCCGCTGCCAGCGGGCGAGTTGAGCGTACCCGTACCGTCGTTAGATCCATTGTGCTGCAGGCGCTGAATAGTGGGGGAATGTGTATAAGGAGGTGATAACGTGTATACTACAGGCGAAGACGTCGTGGGAGACAAGGTTTTCGGCGACGCTGTACCCATCGTGAAAGCTCGTGCAGATGGTGGCAGAACAGAACGAGAAGTCGACATGGAGAAGATTGTGGAATGCTGTTCCCCAGTATGCCCGTTTGTAGGTGAGCTTGCTCTATCCACGCCATGCGATGCACTTTCTGCCATTTGTGATGCGCGGCTCTTAAGGAACTCGATAGTTTTTAGCTCCCTCCGAGTCGTTTCGTCCATTTCGCGCACTCCCTCGTGGTCCGCCAGGAAACCGTCCAAAATAGTGTGCATCATGTCCGCATCCTTGCCTTTCGGATGCAAGACTAAATAAATGCCGCTAATCATCGCTGTTTGAAACTCTCTGTAGGCGTTGCTCAGAGAATCGCGAGCTTCTTTTGGCATCAAATCACGGAAGGCCTTGCGAACTTGGAAATCCTTGATCGAAGACTCGAAGCATGCCCTTCGGGAACGCAGGTAACGATCACAACTCAATTTCCGCAATAAATATGGACGATGGAGGCCGACGCGAACGAACAAGACCTCGGTAATGAGGAGGAAGCGGTGAACAGGAATGAATGGTTTCGTCTCGTCGAGGGATGTGTCGGGATCCAATGAAAAGTGAGGTGGTAAGTTGGAAACGAATTTTAAAAGGTCGTCATCCAGCGTCAAGACATCAGAATAATGACTGGGTGACTTGACCTTCTGAAAATGATGTACTATCCTTCCAATAATGGAGGCCAGCTGATGCCTGAGAATAACAAAGGTCATTAGCGTAGGGCTCGAAAGGGAAGGTGGATTGCGAATGACGGCAGGGGAAAAGTCGTCATCAATGTTCAGAGGCGGGAGGGTGGAAGTGTAATCGTCTTGAATAGCATGAGGTCTTCCAAGCACAAGTGCGTAAGAACGATCGGCGTGATAAAGATATGACCTTCAAGATTCCCTAAGTTTAGATCTTGAGGGGACATTGATATCCTTACCATATGCGGCGTCTGTTTTCAACCTGAGCAGGGTCGAGTCCCTGTGCAAGCTAAATCAAAACAGGCATACCAATAGAATATTCACGAGCTTACCGTAGGTGCAGCATCACGATGGAATCCAAGTGCCTGGGCTGTTCGCACAGCAGCACCCAACTGACTCCAACACTCCGTAATGCGACGATCAAAAGTCAAGAATCGTGCACTCTAGTGATTATGTCGGAACTCCGCGCAGCATAGATGACCTTTGACACTTACGAGTAAGCGAGTGAGAACGATATCCAGTGAATCTGGCTGGATAGCTGCGGCAATAAGCAGAGAACGTCGAGCTATACATAGAACGGGTGGGCAAAAAACACATTATAGTCGATCAGTGACGTACAAGACCAGTAATATCTCAAAGATGTCACTCTTCTTGTTCGTGCGTCACCAGCAAGATGTTCAGGTGCCAATCGCACTGAAATAGCAAGCACCACGAACAAGAGCGGAAGGAAGCGTGCATCGTTAGTATTGGCGCCCACCCCGTTAGCGCAAAGAGATGCGTAGGCAGTCCGAAAGTCAGCCTCGCAAACGGGATATCTTGTCCAATTGCTACAATCAAGGGGGGAAATCATCAAGATTGGACAACATATAGGACATCAACTGACATTGCAGCGAAATAATGATCAATAAGTACATCGGAAAACCGTTGCGGAGGGAGCTCCTGAAGGAGTTCCGAGATTTTGTGCGGTGATACACCGCATTCTTGGACAAGACTCTTGAGGTTGTCGGCTGCTGAGGGTTCAGAGTCTTGTCGCACAGACTCCATTATCGATGGGGTCGCTAAGGCTGATTTATGCTCGCCGTGACCAGTTCCATGCTGGCCGGAAGGCCCCGCATGAAGATTAGAAGTGGAATGAGGCGAATCCCACTGTTCTTGAATTGAACTGGCAACGACAACGTTTGCCAGCTAGTGAAAAGCATGTCAGAGAATATAACTAGCATGACCATCAAAACATTCACTTGCTCCAGAACGGAGGCGGGTGCTACACTTCCCGAGGCGCTATTGCCATACCATTTTCCACTGTGGAAGGTACCACCACTTGGATCCTGCTCATCAGTTATCGAACGATTATCGTCGTCTGGGCCTTCAGTTGTAGAACTTTGATGTCTGTCTGCACCTGAATAGGAGGACTGAGACGGCGAATTGAAGTACTGGGGCAAAGCCTGCTCGATGATGTGCTCAAGCCTGGCTAAGCGGACGCCCAGATCTTGGTCTGTTTTTCCAGGAGTGTATGCTTTGCAAAGCTCGGGTACTTTTCGTGCTATACACTGGGAAGACTGTCAGACGAACGGGTAATAAACAACATGAAAGAGTCATACATGAGAGCACGGTATCTGCCGGTCGCACTGCCATGGGGAATATTTTAGCAATGTGATTTGAATGAGAGTATGGACATACCTTCTGTTTTCGACGATGACATTCACCACAGGAGAAACTACGGACAAAATGGTTCTGGGTCGCTCTAAGCGCGCAAAAAAATGACAAACCTGACTCTAGATCTGGGTTTCTTGACCTGTATATGATCGCCATCATCATCCTCGGTCTTCCTCCTCTTGAGACTAGAAGTTTCGGAAGCTGAAGAAGTATGCTTGACCATGGATGATGGGAGCAGATGATGATGGCCTTGGAAATTGAATAGAAAGATGAAGAGGGTGACAGGCAAATCAATGACTCCGTCTCCGAGTCCGATCTGCACGTGCAGGTGGCACTGCTGGCATCATGTGCGAGCGTTAGCGAACTCCGGTTACTATTACCCAGGCGCGACAGACTCTATCCGGATTGTTCATCAAAGGTTATCTCTAATACAATCTATTTACCGCAATGTCCTCAACAACACAAATCGACTCAGATGTAGCGCTCATGATGGAACAACCGTCCTGGAAGAAAACTAAACTCTCCTTGGAAAGACCCTACAAGGATGACAAAGGAGAGCGCATACCTGTCCTTCTAGACATAGCTCCAGATGGAGTGCAAGTATTTGAGCCGTATGTCATGAAACCGTCGTTATATTCTATCGCTAACCAAGCATCAGTCAACAAGATCCCACCAAACTCTTGGGTGAAAACCTGAGACGTATATTCATCGAGCGCGGTGTAGATTTTTTTGAGCGCCAAGATGCCCTGGGGGCTACCGGGGATTTGTCCATTCCTCAGGCCCTGGATACCAAAGACGATAAGGTCGAATCGGATCAGCAGGAGGAAGGCGTCTCGAAAGCCCATATGAACCCAGAGGAGTTGTTCAAAATGCGCATGGAAATCATGCCCCAGCTATTGTATGTGATCATCCAGGCGGCAACGTCGGAAGTCTCATTCGCAAGCTAGTACCGCACTAGGAGAGATGACGCATGCCAGGGAGCTGCTTTCGTTGCTACTGGCTTCTTCTGCACCAACTGATCCATCTCCTATCCCTGCCTTACCTTCTTCTACATTGACGGCAAGTATTGTCACGAAGCCTTCGCCTATACCTTCAGTGGACGCATTCAATGCTCAGCTGACTATCGGTGGAAAGGACGAGGCTCTGAGAAAGGCTTCGAGTATATTCAAGGCCGCCGCAAACAACCTGGAGAGAAGCCGCCTCCGAGGTCAAAGGTATTGGGTTGATGCACTCAAAACCAGGCGTGCCAATTGGGGATTGGTGCCTGCACCCCTCCCATTTGGTGCACCTACAGGCAAGGGTGCTGATAAAACGTCAAAGGACTTCTTTGTCTCTTTCGGACTAGAGGAATGTAAGCATTTGATCATGTTTACTATCTTGAATTTAACCATGCGTCCAGCTCCAGCTCACTTCAGACGAAGAGCGGTAGGACACATGACAACCTATGAAACCGCATCACATGTTCTTGTGTTTCCTCACCGTCAGCGAGTCCGCCTCCAAGTTTCTCTTATTCTAACCGATTCCAACGGCCTCCTTCGCACTGCTTCCAACAGTATAACAGGCCTATCAGATGCGTCATTGGAAGATTCTCTTAAAATCGCGCAAAGGGAAATGGTCGAGGAAGAGCTTTTCTCTGTCTTGATTAAAGAGGCTAGCACTTTACCGACAGCGTCAGCACGAGTGGCCGAGCGGCTAATCGTCATTGACGCTGCCCAGGGAATGGAACTCAAGTTTGAACTCGTGAGTTATCATTGCAGACCAAGATGTGGCACTCAACTTGTGTAGGTTGATGGTGATGCTGTCAATGCTCAAGAATCCAATAAGAGTGATGAACGTTTGTCCGCTACTTGTAATCTCATATACTTCGCACTGCAAGGACTCCTCCTGTCTCTGCATGCGTCGCAGAAATCTCAACGCCTATCATCAGCCAACACACAACATGTACCCTCGGTCTTTCCGAATAAGGCTCCTCTGTTGCAACCCATTATTGACCTTCTTCAATATCAGGTATTCTGTGACAGAATCAGAGTAGAGCTGGATAAAATGGTTTCTGCCTTGCTCAAGGCCGGTGTTCCGTCCTCGTTACGATTCGACGCTGTAGGTGAAAGCGGGCACCAATTAGTGGAGCATTTTGTCGCCAATGAAACGGCAAGAAGGATTGGGGGCGAGGCTCTTCTCCGTATCGACGTCAGGCAAGTTGCGATCTGGAGCACATTCTTGAGCATATATTTATGTTCTTCGCAACAGGCAAACTCTTCGTTTGACATTCCTTTCTCCATCATCTCTTACAGCCCATTTGCCACAAGCAACGCTGCCGATTGCGTCCATCCCTCAGCTAGTGCAGCTTCTTTCAGATGAAGTCGAGAGGTGCCTTCTCAACCGGTTGTGCGAAGTGGGTTTACAAGTTTGTGAACGCGTCGGTGCAACATGGTTTGTCGATTTCGTCAGCGGCAAAGCGGTCGGAAGGTGGGAAGGAAATATATTGTGAGCACAATAAGTTTGTTCTTCCTCTTTCCAGCACAGACTAAGGAGATTTCCAGGAACTTCCGCGTCATATTCGACAAGGACTTTGCCATCCACTCATCGGCATACCGTCTGAACAGAGCGAGTCACCAGTTATCATTACTAGAAACATACACTCCTGAGACCTCAGTTTCTCTCGTAGCATGGCTTCAAGAGTTGCTCGAGAAGACCATATTAGAATCTTAATTTTTTTTGGCCAATAATCGTGTTGCATGATATCATAAGCATATGACCTACTTGGCTGAGTGGATGAAAATGTGAATGCAAAAGTAAGTAAAGGCATGAAAATTTTTACTCGTCGTCATCATCCTCGGCAGCAGCAGCCTCGCCTCCTGAAGCCTTGAAGGCCTCGATCTTTTCCTGGATGCGAGCTCTGCGCTCCTCCAGCGTGAGTTTATACGTCTTGTACTTCAGGCTCTCCGCCTTCCAGTCCTTGGTCTTCTCCGAAGGCTTGAAGGTGGGGTCCTCACGAATGGCGGCATACGCGTTGGTGTAAATTTCCTCAATATCTTCTGAACCAATATCATCTGCAAGATATGAAGAGAATTGCTTCTTGAAGCTGAGCAAAAACCATAAATGTTACATTTTTGATGTTCGTGTGGAATGGCTTACCGCTCGTCATCCTCCTCCTCGAGCGACTCCATGTACTCAGCAACGTGGCCAGCAAAGATGTACTTCTTGAGCACTTCGCTATCGAGAGACTTGCTCTCTGGGTCGTACCCAGGGAAACGCTTCTCAGAGTGGGGGATGAATATACCACCGTCACTTGCGCCCTTCATTGCGCCGAAAACACGGTGGCCAGTGGAAGTGCGCTTAAGACCAACATCGAGGTAGCACTTGAAAGGTCGTGGGGCATCATCCTCATCCAATGCCTCAGTCAGCGTCAGGGCACCGTCGGGCTCCGCGACACCCTCGTATTTATCGGCAAGACCCAGCTTGGTCAATGCACGGCGAGCGCACAAAAGACCGGTTGCGTATGCTAAGGTGTTCATCAAATATCATATAGTAAATTACGTGAAAGAATCATACCAGCAGTCCAGTTAGTGAGACCGTGGTTAATTCCGTATCTTGGTAGCTCTTGTGACCGTGCAGCGGTCAAGACGAAGTCGCCCTGTAGACGTGCATACACGATCTGGACGATGATATCCCGGTTCGTGAAGCGCACTACTAGACGATATTTTGGTGCATTGCTTCAGAGTTGTTAAAACAAGTCGCCGTTCTTTATGCTGCGATAACTTACTACTTGTTTTTAGCCTGGGTCACGAGGCGTTTGCGGGCATAGTCTAAGTAGACCTTAGCACATGCGATCAAGAAATCTACAGGATGCTCACAGTCGGTCTTTCCCTCTCTTCTACGGCGGTACTTCACTTGGAAGCGGGAGAAGTAGGCATCAGACTTCACTTTTTTGACGAACGGCATCTAGTGGGAATTGTCAGTTAACTGCACATATGCATCCTGGGTAGCTATAAACCATCCATCGAAAACTGGCAATATTTGCACAATTTGATTATCATAGCCAGTCATTGAGGACTAGACGGTGCCACGGGACGGTGAACAGTCATAAAGACATACCTTGAGGGATCTTGAGGACGGCGGGGACAGCGAGTACACCCTTTCAATCAAAGTTTCTGTGGTTGTTTACCTTTGTTGATTTGTTGATTTAATCAGTTATTATTATTTTTATTAGTTATCAATTTGGTAAGTGAGGTGACCCATAACCCCGGCTTCTCATTGTACCAACATCAACGCATTATGGACTCGCAGTATTCTCAATTCAGCCAACAGCAACAGGCTTATGATGTTAATCCTTACCACCAGCCTTATCAAGGTCCCATGTATCCTTTGCCCGGATCTTCGTCGAACCACAGCGCACCTGTTCCAGCGAATGCGTACGAATATGATGTCGGCATACTTGCGCAACAGAGTGTCTATGTTCCTGGGGCTATGATCGACAAGCGTGGAGGCGCTGGTGGGAAACTTGCAAAGGGTGGAAAGCGCACCACTGTGCTCCGTAAGGGTGGTGGAAAGGTCTGGGAAGATCAGACTCTTCTAGAATGGAATCCATGTAAGTGTGCCACTTGATATGAAAGTCAGCCACTGACAAACTGTATCGTAGCTTGGTTCCGCTTGTTCGTAGGAGATCTTAGCAACGATGTCTCCGATGATGTCCTCGCGAATGCCTTTAATAAATACACATCTTTCCAGAAAGCTCGTGTCATACGCGACAGGTTGAGCCAGAAGGTGTGGACGTTTCCTCTTGCTCTACAAATTTTGTTGACAAAACATTATTAGGCTAAGTATGGTTTCGTCGCCTTTTCAGATCCAGAAGATTTCCTCAAAGCTTGGAAGGAGATGGATGGTGAGAAATACCCTTGTCCAATCACCGAAATCTCGCTCAGCCATATTTCAGGTAAATATGTAGGTAACCGTCCAGTCAAGCTCAAGAAGGCGGATGATACTGCTATCCGACCTGTAGAGATAGGGCACCGAAAGGCTAGACAGCTCGAAAAGGACTTGAAGAAGAATAGAGGCAAACCATACTAATCGATCGCCGCTGTGCGTTTAGACGACGTGGCTGGTCTGCGAAGACATCGCCAGTATGTTTTATTTTTTGATACTGGAGCGCAGCTCACCGTGTTATGTATCTCAACTATGAAATTATGATAATGGACACCGTGCATACTAAAGCCACACGATCATAGTGGGTACCGTCCCTTGATTCCTCACGCATCAACTTCGTTTTCTGCATTTTACAGTCAGGCCTACTATGCGCGTTTTCTTCAAATTGCTTGTTGAGCAAGTATGCAAGGTAAGTACGGGGGACGCTGTCGTCTGCTGTGATAAGCCGAATGCCCATTGCTGTAGAAATTTTGTAGTCGTATATGTAGACTTATAGTCTCCCCCTAAAAGAATGAAGACAGTTGTAAAAATCTAGAATTTTCTCTGGAGCTTCTGAAGAGCAATCAGACAGTGCTTGAACGATGTCAGAGCACGTGATTTGATGCATGATGGAATGTATACAGTACATGTCTTTACGCACTAGCTAGCCATTAGCCAGATACTGAATCATGGACATCGACAAGCTTTTCAAAGTAAGGGCTTGTCTTGCACTCTTCCGTGTATGTTGTGATGTTTACGCGCTCCAGGTGCCCAGGCTTCCTACGAGCTCAAAGCGGAAGATGCCAGATAATCCTACCCCGGAGATGCTAAAGAAGATGCGTCTCGATACTCCCTTGAATGAGGACTCGGTGGATTCGGCCATGGACGTTGAAATCCCTGAAAGCAGCTCGGCTCCTCACCGACAGTCGCGACGCGCAACTGTAGAAGACGGGGACGACAAAATGGTTGATGTCTCCTTTGCTCCAGGGGGTGACGCGGACTACTTTGTCGAAGAGGATGAAGAAGGGCGGTTCTACGGAGGAGGACTGACTTCGGAACAGAAACAAATTTTGAGTATTTTTGAGAGTGCTGAAGGAGAAGGAACAACGGAAGACGTGAGCGCATACAAAATTCTCGCGAAATGCGTAAATATTGACACGACGTGAAGCCAGAAGGAATATCGATCACAAGCATAAGAAGAACGCTACTGAAGTTTGAACGAGCTGCCAACAAAAACCAAGACCAACGCTCGAAGTACCCGGATGATCCGTCAAAGTAATTTACATTGGACGTCTTATGGTCCTAGGACTGATTATACTTACGCTGTTGCAGGTTCATCGACTCTGAAGCAGACCTCGACAGTGCGCTTAAATCTCTTCTATCTTTGGCACAGTCTCCTGTCCTGGCCTACCCAGAACTCGTGCGGTCAGGTTCTGTCAGTTTACTCATTGGACTCCTCAGCCATGAAAACGCCGATATTGTCATTGACGTCGTTGATGTGATCCATGAGCTGACCGACGAAGATGTTGGGAACGAGCTAGAAGATGAGGAGGAGCAAGAGGAGGCGCAGGTAGCGCTAAAGACCCTCATTGAAGCCCTGGTTCGTTCCCATATTTCAGCATGGTTCTGTTCTTAAGTGCTATGTTTTCCACTCTACGCAGCTAGAGAATTCAATCTTGGAGTTGCTCGTTGATAATCTTTCGCGTTTAAACGAGACTGAAGAATCAGACCGACAGGGTGTTTTCCATATTCTCGGTATTCGTGCACCTAACCTCTCGTCATTCGTTACTGACCTACGTTCCAGGCATATTTGAAAACATACTTGGCTTTAACCCTGACCTTTCCCTTATACTAGTGTCGAAGACCAAGCTGATGAATTGGTTACTCAATCGCGTCCAGTCCAAGACTCATGACGAAAACCGTGGCTATTCCGCAGAATTGATTTCCATTCTTTTACAGAACAATGCAGCGAACCGTCAAGATTTTGGCAAGAAAGACGGCGTCGAGATCGCTCTTAACGTTCTTTCTGTAAGTTGCAGTTGACTATCACAAGCTTTAATATCATTTCCTATGATATAGCAATTCCGAAGACGTGACCCAGTTGATGCAGACGAGACCGAATTCATGGAGAATTTGTTCGACGCTCTTTGTTCTGCGTTGGCCGAGCCTGAGATCAAGTCTTTTTTCCTCGCGAGCGAGGGTGTCGACCTCATGCTTCTTATGATGAAGTGAGCGCGTCCTGTGGATGTCCACGCAATGCTAAATTGTGCCGTTGGTAGAGAAAAATTGCAATCGAAGTCGAGAGCAATCAAAACTCTCGACTATGCGATGTCTGGCCCAGCAGGCACCGCCACTTGCGCAAACTTTATCGAGGTCCTTGGACTGAAGACGCTCTTTGCTACTTTCATGGGAAAGGTATAGATGCAGTGTTCTCAGTACGGTTTAAACTAATTAAGCCTACTCCGCAGGGTTCAAAAAAAATTAAATCCAATGCACCAGCAGCAGCTTCCGAAGATATCCCACATATTCTTGGCATTATCTCCTCATTGTTTTCAAACACTCCATCGGACTCTCCAGATCGAATACGTCTGCTTGCCAAGTTTGTGGAAAATAATTATGAGAAAGCAGATAAACTACTCGAGGTGCGGGAAAATGCTCGTAGTCGTCTGAAAGTTGTGGACGCGGAGATCGCGGCGGAGAAAAAGGTATGTGCCATGTAATATTCACTAATGAACATCCAGTCCGAATGCTGAATGCGCAGGAAACCATTGCTAACGGTGGTGAAATCGAGTCAGAAGACGAGGATCTGTTTTATCTGCGTCGACTGGAGGGCGGACTGTTCACATTGCAGACAGTCGATTATATCCTCGCATGGGTAGTCATGGAGGACGATGGAGTAAGCAACATTTTTCGATAACCTGTGATAGCTAAGTCGAGTAACACTCCAGATTCGCGGCCATATCACACAAATGCTTGAGCGCAAGAACCAGTCCTTGAAAGATATCATCTCAACCCTTCAAATATACCGCGACAACCTCGACGCTGACACACAGAGCAATGGCCTAGCCACTGATCACGCTCCAGAAGGTGGAGCACTATCACAAAAGGAGATCCTTCAACATCTCGTCGATTTTCTGCAGGAATGTTTATAACGGACACGGGGCATTAAAATATGTAGCAATATATGCGTAGAGTACAAGTCGTGTGTCCTACTATGCGGCAGTCAGTGTAGCGGACGCGAAAATCATTTCGAGTGCGCCTTTTGTTTTGACCAGTTCTTTTTGGAACCGAATCTCGGCAAGGACTTTCTTTCGAAGTCGCATGAAGAGTGAATCGATGAGAGGTGACTGTCCAAGGACCGGTGTGTACATCTCTGCATGGATACGTCAAGCCAGCGAAAATGCAAGACGATCAATCACGTACCGATGACCAGACTTGAGACGTCGGACACCATTTCACCAAAACGGGGATCAGCGACATGCTTCACGAGAAGACGCAAGACTGGTTCCAACAGAACATCATCTCGACCTGCCAATGCGCTCCGAAGGCCGTCACGATGTATCAATTCTTGTATCAGAGAGAAAGCCGTTGTCGGTGGGACGTTCTATAAGGCGAATCAACATCGAATTTCACAACTATGGTGAACGAGCATCACCTTTCTGAGCACCGAATCCAAAGCTGCTGAATATTTAAACCCTTTCAAAAGCCTGTCGTACTCTTTCAGACGCCTTGCTCGTCTGCTTTCGATTCTCAGCTCGTCCACATCTCCGGTGGGTTTGGGCTTGATTTTGGACTTGGTGCGTCCTTGACCAATTACAGGAAGGGTACCTCCTAAGAATGTCTCAAAAGCTCCAGATTTTAAAGCAGTAGCGAAGGGCGGATCCGCGCCTTCTGAAGCTTTTGGCTGTCTCCGTCTAACAGAGAGCGTGCCATCTGACATTCCCGCGGCGATATGCGTTTCATCCGGCTGCACTGCTGTTAGCAAAGGAACATGACAAGAAACTAGAACTTTACATACGGAAATGGCAAGACAAAGAACAGGCGCGGGGTATCGCATGGTATGCACGACCTTGTACGAGCTGACATCGTAAACCTTCACCATATGATCCAAACTCCCCGTCAACAGACGACCCGCAGACCCATCAAATGCTAGCGAGGTAATAGTCTTCTGGTGATTCGAAAATGCACGCAAACAACGGCCACCAGCGACCAAGTCCCAGAGGCGCAGGATAGGACCTGCGGTAGACAAGGCCATTGTACCAGATGGGAACATTTTGACTTGCTCGACTGGTACTGCACTCGAGGTATCTCCGCCGCCCATTATCATCTCGCATTGGCTGGTCCGCGTGTCGAATAATCTCATGGTTGCGTCATAAGAACCAGTGAGGATGAGGTGGGGATTCGAGGTCGAAACTTCACCAGAGCGAACATAGTCGGTGTGTGCATGGAATGTGACTACTTCAGTTTGTGACGGGACGTCCCATAATTTTACGGTGGTGTCGTCTGAACAGGAGAGTACTTGCGTGGGTGCGAGGGCAGAAAATTTAGTGACGTGTACCGGCTGCTTATGCGAGTCCAGGGTACGAAGGATGGCGCGTGAATTGATGTCAAAGACCTGCAAGCAGATTGATTAGGATGTGAATATACCGTGGGTATGCGCCCATACCTGCACGAGACCTGTATCATCACCTGCAACGACGAGCTTTCCGTCAGGACGGATGTTACCACTGCGTGCAACATCCTTGAAGCGCGAAATTGTCTTTGTCACTTTCTGGGTTCGGGGTGCATAAATCTGAACACGCGTTGCTGCTGTTACAGCATACCTATGAGGTTTAGAAGGAGAGAACTGGATAGACGTGACTGGTGCGTATTCCTTGATAAACACCGGGTGTTTGAATTGACGCCAATATCTTGATTCTGGACTATGCTTAGCCGCAGCTGGCCGAGCATGTCTCTGTACGACTACCGGCTGATAGTCCATGTGGTAGCATGAAGCAGATGTCGGGATTCGGATGACAATATTTTTGTATCCCACGAGATGATGATCTACTGATCTTGTCGGTGTACATAAAGATCAAAAGACTCGAAGGATCTCTCTTACCTCAACTTCTATCTCCCTCGTTGGAACCCCCCCTTTTCTTTTTCTTTACACCTTTATTATATCTGTTCGAAAATGCTTCTTTACGAAGATGTCATCTCCGGTGATGAGATGTTTTCCGATGCGTTCCCCATGTATGCTCCAATCTTGGCGCTCGAGCCTATCATCATATACTGACTACTCAAAAAACCAGGAAAGAGGTGGACGGCATCGCCTATGAAGTAAATTGTCAGATGATCACACTCAAGGAGGGCAATGTTGATATCGGTATGCGTCCGATCGAAAGAAAAAAGAACATGGCTCATCTACTTGATTTTGTAGGTGCTAACGCCTCAGCTGAAGAACAGGAAGAGTCACTCGAGGATGGAGCGATTACAGTTAACAATATCGCCCATTCCTTCCGTCTTCAAGCTACCGCTTATGACAAAAAAGCATATCTTTCTCATCTCAAGGTATATATCATATTATTGCTATACCTGTGGAGATCGAAACTGATTAGGATATTCATGTTAGGGTTACATGAAGGCTGTAGCGGAGAAATTAGCAGCGAAGGGAGACCCTGGTGCTGTCACTGAATTCAAGGCTAAGGCAAATGACTTTGTCAAGAAGATAGTCGGTAATTTCAAAGACTATGAATTTGTACGTTGTGCTTTGCCCCCTATACGCGTTGACAAACAAAATTTTAGTACACTGGCGAGAACATGAACGCTGACGGAATGGTAGCCCTGTTGAACTACCGGGTGAGTTGCGATGTTAGAATAAACAACGTCGTATTCTCAATGATTTCTCATCTCAGGAGGATGGGGTCACCCGTACGTGTTTTCTGTCAAGTAGCGTCATCATGATCATCACACCTGAACAGCCTACTTCACCTTCTGGAAGCACGGTCTCAAGGAAGTCAAACTGTAATATTTGTTTTCGAATCGATGGTTTCTATCACTTTATATTAGAGCAATCGTACGAGTCGCTCCACTTACACTCCCCACGAATATTGAATGCATGCAAGAGATAAGATAACAATAGAGGTAAGACTGCTGCGCACAAATTACAGTTCATCGTGAGCCTCCCGCGGTGCCTCAAACGTGGCCTGCGACTCGTTTTCAGGAGCCTTGACAGAAGGCTTCAAGCTGTTCTTGGCATGCTCCTGCACGTACGCAATGAGAGATTCCAATTCCCGATCCCCGCTATATTCAAGGAACTCCTGCGATCCTGCAGGCTTGAATTTGAGGGTGGGGAATCCGCTGATACGGAATGGGGCTGAAGCTGGGAGATCGTTTTCTTGGGACTCCATCTTTGCACTGCAACGATGAATCAGTTTTGTTGACAAGGTTGGAGGAAAGGTGGACGTACATGACCAACTGATCTTTCACGTCAGCAAAGTGATCACCGAGGGAATCCCAGATGGGCTTCAAGCGCTTGCAGTGACCGCACCTAAACAGGTCTTCAATGACATGCGTTATGAAATATGGCCAAAGCAACGCACCATGTAGCATAAAATTCAACAAACACATCCTTGGAATCATCATACATAACCTCATCGAACTGTTCACTAACGAGCGTGAACACGCTCTCATTCTGACTCTCAGGAATGGGCTGGCTCTTGAGCTTAGGAAGAAGCTTCCCAGCGAGGTACTCGCCGACCATAGCAGACACAGCCTCAGCCTCTATAGGCTTGCTCTGGTCATAAGGGTACTTGAGTTGATCCTCCAGGTTCTGAATAACGAAACTCGGCCATTTGGGTTCAGCAAGGTTCAAAGCCTTTGCATGGTCGCCAAACTTGGTCGCATCTATCCAAACAAAGTGGATCTTGCCGCGGTACTTGGCAGCAACAGGCTTGAGAACAGCGAGCGTCTCGTCTTTCTTTTCGTCTGTAGGGTCCAAAAACAAGTATGCGATGGGTTTACCGCTGCCGGCGTACATGGCATACGTTTCTCCGTTCACCTCACCAAGGATAGGGATGGACAGCTGCTGAATCCATGCTTCGAGTTCAGCGGTAATAACTGCAGATGGCGGGTGCGGGTACTCGGTGATATGTTCATCAAAGTTGCGGTAGACGACGATAGCGGGAGGAGTGACGCCTGCGGCTGCGATAGCTGCAGCGTCAGAGGTGATACCAAAGAGGTACTCGTCGCGGAGCTTTTCCGCTGTTGCACTGAATTCAGGTGCGGGGGCCTTTGTGGTGGAGGAGACGTAGGCGAGGACAACGAGCTTATCGGCGTTTTGGAATTCAGTGAGGCTAGAGGCGGTGACGTCAGAAACGGCAGGGAGGTTTTGTCTGAGGGTGATGTTAATAGGTACGAAAAGGTGACAGAAGGGTAGAGTATACTTGAGCATGTAGCTGATGATACCATCTGCCTTTCGCGGACCGGAGTATTCGGTGGGTTCACCGTTGCGGAAGACTTTGAGGGTGCTATGGAGGGATGGTCAATGCGCTAGAGAGAATATTTTGAATGGTATGGACGTACGGGTAACCCTGGACACCATGGGACTGGCAAAGGTCTGCCTGGTCGACACAGTCGACTTTGGCAAGCTTGATGTCCTTCCCTTTGAGTGTGGTGGCTGCCTCCTCGTAGTGGGGAGCTAGAGCTTTGCAGTGGCCACACCTATGGTAAAAGTCGGCGAGAATTCACGTAAAAGGACGATGGAAAGGTACCATGGAGCATAGAACTCGACTAAAATCAAAGGTTCTGAGTTGACAGCAGAAGTAAAGGTGTCCTTTGTAAGGACGAGCACATCGGAGGACTCGGCAACGTCAGCTGATGCCAAAGAGGCAAGGGCGATGGCAGAGGCCACGGACACGAGAGAGGGGAAGCGCATTGAACGATGCGTTGGTGAGAGTTAGCTGCCAATAAATTGTGACGATGCAGGTTTTATAATGCAAGTAAGTGTATACGTGTCACCTGGGCGGTGTAGTATTGCCGGGTTAAGGCTGCTATGTGGCAAGACCGTACTTCCGAAAATCTGGCGGAATACTTAATCCAAATTCGAGCGCCACGTAGTCTACTGTATAATTTAGAGTCCAAGCAACTGTATCAACTAAGTCTGATATATCATGCGATTAGAGTAAGACTATGTACAGCGAGGGCCAGGCTATAAGGTGGACAGGTCGAAATCACTGCCAGTGGTTCGACCACTGGCATATCGCCTTGTGGCTGAGACAAACGGACGTGGCTGTGGGAAATCAGTTACGGGAAACGTATGTGGGCCAGAGGTTGGAGGGGGAGAAGGTACTGGTGAACGAGGATGAGTTATGGGCAACAGTAGAGGACAGATACAGCTTACTTTTGCGAGATGGAGGTGTCCTAGCACTACCATTGATGGAGGGCCGTTCGACAGGTAAAGCGAAAGGCTCAGTGACTGGTGTTGAAACGGTACGGGGTCTAGGAGGAGCAGATACAGGAGGTCTTGGAGGAGCAGATGGAGGGGGAGGTGGACGGGAAGGTGGAGGGCGATTTACAGGTGGAGTTTGTGGACGGGAATCAACTTCTGACAAAGGTCTGACACGAGCTGGAGGAGCAGGTGGACCGTCTGATAAAGGTGGCCTACGAGAAGGTGGAGGGGGGACTGCTCGAGCAGGAGAACCAATGGTCGACAAGGGTCTGGCTGGGGGAGGAGGAGGGGCTTTCCTTGCAGGTGGAACTGGAGGAACAGAACGTGGAGCTGGACCAGTAGGGGGAGAGGAAGGACGAGCTGGTGAAGAGGCAGGACGAGCTGGTGGTGGTGGTGGTGGTGAACGGGCCGGGAAAGCAGGAGGAGCGGGGGAAGCTGTCCTTGCAGGTGGTGGTGGTCGACGCGGTGGGGGAGGAGGTGTGGGAGTGTTTCTAGAAGGAGCAGATCTTGAAGGTAGTGAAGGAGCAGATCGATTTGGCAATGACGGTGCAGATCGATGAGGTATTGAAGGAGCAGATCTATTTGGCAGTGATGGTACACTTCGATTAGGAAGCACAGGTGGTGCAGGTGCAGGAGGAGGACCTCTGGCAGGAGGAGGTGCTGATGGTCTAGCAGGAGGAGGTGCTGATGGTCTAGCAGTAGGCGACGGTGACTTTCCTAGCGTAGGAGGTTAATTCAAACATTGAAAGATGAATGAAACCGGCACACCCAGATTATGACTACTAGGCTTCAATTTAGGAACACCTCCAGCAAACAATCCACCAAGTTGAGGTCCTCCCATCGATGGTACTCCACGTGAAGCAGCAGCAGCAGCAGCAATACCACCGCCGCCGCCGCCGCCGCTGCCACCACCACTTGCCTTTCCATCAATCAAAGGACCACTCCGGTCATGTGTTTCAGCTTTCTTCAGCTTCCTGCCGGCCTGAATCTGTTTCAAAAGCTCAGAAGACGCCATCGTAGATCGTGGTCAGTGTGTGTTGTCACTCCGGAGTCACAGTTCACATGTCACGACTCATCGGTGAACACATGGAGTCCCGCCGCCATAGCCAAGAACTTTTCTCAGGGTACACAAAAGCGAATCTGGAAACAACCGCCCTATAGCTAAAGGTAAACCATTGCGAATAAGGTCGCCGAATTATGGGCATCGTTCAAGTTGTTGTGCAATATCAGATTCGGTATATATCCATATAGATTGAAATCATGAGCTGGATGTCCTACAACAGTATCATATTGCTACAGCGTGCCTCATTGGTTCGGTAAACAGATTGTTGAATACAAAACAGTTCAACAAGATCTCGACAGCGAGTAATATTCATTCCTGATTGTCACATCAGCTCTCTGCGTCGATATGGACGGTCCCGAGGACGAGTAGATCGACATTGCTCAATAACTTCTCCCCCAATATTTTTCAGGGGGCACAGCATAACGAGATCGGGAAGGCTTCTCTGACTTCTACATACTAGCGATGATGGCAGCATCATTCCGAAGGTAATCATAGGGAGTATTTTGGCGAGGACCTATAAGCGGAGCTGACGACATCAACCAGAGGAGGAATTACCCCAGACAGCCCAGACGAACCTGCAACATACGAACGAAAAGATGTCGCTCGGCCATGCTGGAGTTCCTTCTTCTCTGGTACCGTACAAGAAGCTCAGGCGTAGATTGCCTTTTGAGGTTGGAAGTCCAGGAAGCCTGAGAGGCATTTATGACCTCTGAGTGATTTCTTAATACTAGAGGATGCGCAGGTCGAAGGCAGCACTCATCCTTTTTGGATTGTAGAAACGAGGGAGAACCCTCCCAGAGATGCATAGTAGGCTTTCAGCCTAGTTTCCCATAATAACGAAACCGGGCAGCCCCGTGTGAACCTCTTTGAAATTGTGCCAAGGGTGTGACGTTGCAAGACATCGTTTCGAGTACAGGTGATGATAAATAAGGTCAGAACGACGTTCTTCGAGTCATTACGAGTAGTAGCGGTTTAGTGTTCTTTTTGCAAGTCCCAGAGCAGAGCGGATGGCAGGATTGAGGTCTTCATTCTTGATGGTGCAATTAGTGAAAACATTGTCAATGTGGTCCATCGCAGGGATGACCATGGCGAGGTTTGGTGTCCCGCGTGAAAAGTACAGTGTTGCGTCCTTGAGGATCTGTGATTATGTGATTAGTATGCATTGTGACGAGCATGTGACTAAGTCACCTTCAATACATCACGCAGTTGCTTTGCAAGCGTCCATTCATCATCTTCGAGTGCATATTCCCCAAGACCAAGCTTACGCTTGTCCATGATAGCGTCAATCGCCTTCCGGTACTCCAACGCGAAATTCAACATGTCGAATGTTGAATTCCATCAAGTCAACACGTCCCGCGGCATTATTCGTGGAGCAAGTTCTAAGTTATCAAGGATCGATTTCCACGCAGGAAGTAGGATGGTCGTAGAATGTATAATTTTGAATGCGAGTTTGCGGAGCTGCAATGGGAGTCAGGCTATGCACACAGGTAAATATTTTGTTATGACCTTTGCAAGTACAAATCTGATTGGCTGAATGCTGCCTGCCAACTCTAAGCGCTCTTCACAGCCCAGCAACGCCTCTTCGTCTATCCACCCTTCACCATTGTCATCATTGTCGGCACCCTTGTCAGGGTCTTCATACCGTGTCTGCAAGTCTTCGAGCTCTACATCCCCAGTAAGTCTATCCAGCTCTTTGTCCGTCTCTCGACCATCTCGAACCTTCTTTTTTGGAGCATCAAACTCATGCAGTAATGATTTAGCTACGAGATTCACGATGTGTAAGAAACATTGTGTGCGGCTTGTCTCGCCTGCAAAGTGGGGCACCAGATCTACAAGCTCGGTGACAAGGGTGTCATTTGATGATGCATTGTCCACTGTCACACTGAGCATCTGTGCCCCATGTTACAGGTGAGTTCTCTCTGACTGATAATGATTTATTTTACCTTATCCGAGATTCCAAAATCTTCTAGGACCTTTGCAAATGCTTCGGCCAAGTTAGCGCCAGTGTGCGTCTGTTAGTGCTCATTAGCGTGATTTCCATTGATGGTAAGTTTTGTTTACCTTTGCAACTTCAATGATATCAAGAATCATTGCTAGAGGCTGACCTTCATGCTCTAGATGGACTGACAAGGCTACATATGCCCTATGATTTGGGGATGTCCAGGCATCTGTCGCAAAATTCAGCTCGCCCTCATAATTCTGGTGAGGTTCTTAGTTTGTGTCACCGCATGCTAACTTTAACTTACCTGTAACATATTTGCAATGCGCTTCCACATCTTTACAAAAACTTGTTTAACATCACATGCAACAGTGGATGGGGATGGTAAGTAATATTCTGGCCGCCCGGTCTTTATTAGATTTTGAAACCCTTGATCATTGACCATCTCAAACGATCGTAGACTCTCGGACACCCAACGGACAACCTCTGCCCTGGTTGTGTACTATCAGTGGTGTCTCATTGAGTGTGCTTGCTTAAAACGAACCTTGTCTCAGTGCGGGTGTGTTGACGGTGTCTTACTAGGATGTGAAAACAGTAAAATTCACCAATTTTCAGTATCCTACCACGGTCAACAGTTCAGACAAATACCAACAGTCGATAACGTGGTCGTTCGTGGGAAAAAGTGTGTTGAGTTTTCAAAGGAAGTACTCAGTGACTAAAAAGGGGGGAAACAGAATCAGTAACTGGCTTGATGCAGTGCTATGATCCTAAAGAAAGTCAATAACTGGCGCGATGCAGTGCTATGACTTCAACGAATACAGATGTATGTCTTATGCGATGATTCTTAGAGCTATAACAATACTCCCTATCTTCACAAACCAATTGGAGATCAAACTAAGCCTCTAACACAGATCAGCCCGAACTAATACGTGACTTCGAAACCTACTCTCTGCTGCTCAGGCACTACACGATGAGTTTGACGCAGGACAGAACAGAGTACAACCTATTGATGTAGTCTTAAGTGGGCCAAGTTCTTAATATTAGTGACCGACTGTTAGTCTTATTTGTCTTCCTTTGCTAATGAAAATATGTATATTCTCCCCACAGAATTGATTTCCTGTGTCTTGAAAGAGAACTGGAATATGTCTGTACTAGATGACTGATAACCGTGTACCAGCTAGTGTAAAATGTATGGCTCAATGGTGGCCTCAATTATGCCTCTGTATGTCGTGGGAAACAGTGTCAAAAAGTGGAATGAAATAAGCTAATATTTCACTCAGTGTGTCACTCAGTAATCTTTGAGGTGAGAATTTTGAAAAGAGCCTTATGGTCACTCTTCTTATCTTTCACTCACTCTTTCACTCTCAAACTTAGATGATACTTGGAAATGGGCTCTGAGATGGGAGCTCTCTTTATTAAAAGGGAAAATGGGCCCTTTATATACTACTCTACTAGTGGCTGTGCTACTGATTACTAATCTACTACTAAAATGTCAAAGAATGCCATAGAATGTTCCAGATTATTCTACCAGTATTGCTTTCAAATCAACATTTAGTGGCTGTGCTCTGTGGCTATGCTAACCTGTGCTAGCAGGCTGTGTACACTGCCTCTGCACTGCCTGAATGCTGTACTCCAAAGCTGTGTTCAAACTTTGTTGGAATTCTTACAGTCTAATGTTAACTTGTTAAATACCACAGTGTTGGTCTTGCATATTTGTCATAATGAAGTCTCTGCATGGTTTCCTAATGTGTCACCAAGTCACATGAGTCCGATTATGTAATGAGGTATGAAGTCTTTCAGGTCTTTCCTCTGAGTATTGTGAAAAACGAGAGGCTCGCATAGAAAATTGAAAGGCTCGCGTAAAAACGAACATTACCTTGCGAAGCAAGGTCATGTTTCGTGGGGACATAATCTGTCAGTCACCTGACATCAACATCATGCTGTGCATGCAAACAGAATGATAAGGCTAAACAAAGCTACACGTCTCGCAATAACAGTGAATGCTACATCATACATAGCGACGATAAACACAATGAACGAAGCCATAAACTAATACGTCACGCTCGGTACAAATACAAAGGCTGACGCGCCCTCATGATACAATTACAAAGACCAAGTCCGCAAAACATACACATCGATACTTAATCCTTTGAACCGCTCGCTATTGCTGTCTCGTGTTTCTTATGAACAGGCTGATCGTCGTCCACATCACTCAGGGGATGTTTTGATGCCACGCTGACGCTACGTTTGAGGATGTTGATCCTCCCTGCCTTCGCCAAAAACGTATCATATCCTTGAACGTGCCACTGGAGAACCGTAAAATGGACTTCGACCAAGGCCCCGTCCAATGTTCGGTTAGCATCTAAAGGTGGGATTGCTTGGCCGTCTTCAAAGACAGGCAGAGGGACAGCGCGATGAGTGTATTTGACGAGCTCGAACTGGTCTTCCAGATCAGTTGGAATGACCCAGCTCTCAGTGATACTGTCCATCTTGGGAGCATCGGGAGCTCGCTTTCCATGAGGAGAATCAGGAATGCGAGCGGGCTGGGTGAAAATTAATTTGAGTTCTTAACTAAACGCACATCACTCACCCTCTGTTCAAATACGTTGGCAGTTACGCGCAACATCTCGCCAGTCACATCTCGAATCACCATGTTTCTATGATCGCCTGTCGTTCCAGCTACTTTCTGCATCGTCTCAAGATTGGTGATAGCCGCATCGAAATCTCGTCCCAGAATTTTGTCCGTGGGACGCATCAAATGCAATTGATACTTGGCTTTTTCAAGGCCACCTTTCTTGAGATAGTTGCCAGTGGTGCCGCACTTAAGATTCCAAGGTGATACCCGTCCGACAATAAAGCCGGTGAAAGGTGTTTGATCCTCGCGGTCCACGATAATTAATCCATTTGCAGAGTGTTGCCACGAGATCCGTTTGCACAAAGTAGTAGATGCATAACTATCATCACGGGAGGCGAAATGTTCGTGATAAACTTGAGCATCGAACGACATAGTGTTTCATGTGTAAGAAAAAGGGGTGCGCGAGGGAAGCATTGTTATCTGAGTTTGAATTGTTGTCTCTCCGCACTTTTTTTTGTCCGAGTCTATATCCTAGTCTTAAGTCGCTGCACGTCGCCCTTTTCTACGTTAGATGTCGTCGCAATCGCGTCCTCGTATAGTTGGTCAAGTTACTGATATCCATCAATCGTGCTTTGGCTTGTTGTACGGACTTGAATATATATTGCAGGAAGGGGCAAAACCGTCTAAAATGAGGCCAAAGTCAGTAAAACATGTCTTTGTAGGATATGAAGACGGACCGAAGGCAGTGAGATATTATGATGCCCGATCCTATCGATTCCTGCGCAACAAACTTCCCCAAGAAATGGTTGATGTGCAGCGCGAGGGGGAGATAGGGAGTACAGACACGCAGCCATCAGGAGGAGCTGACATGCAGACACCTAAAGAACCACTTACAAAAGATAATGAGCGCAGAATAGAGAAGGACGTACCAATCGTTGAAGAGAGAAGGAGTGAAAGCTCTACTTCCTCAGAACAAAAATGAAAACGTCCTCTAGAGAATGAACTGCCTAGAAAAACAAAAAGGAAGGTTGTCAGACAAGACTACCGTGAATTGAATGATATGGTACAGAAATTGGCTTACCTTGATCGTGAAAGCGGATATGAGGAGACAGAAATGACCCAGACCGAAACCGATATCATAATACGTTGTCATCTTCAGACGGACACACGTGTGAAGGTATGAATAGGAACGGGGAAAAGGACAAAAAGCAAAATGCAATTAAATTGCTTCGCCGGTTCAGGGTTCAAAGCAACTCTGTACGCCCTGTCCGGGTCTGCATTTACACTGGGATCAGCTCAGGGTTCGAAGCAACTTCGGACTGCCCTGGCCAGCCCTGGTAAAATGAGAAAGTGCGGGCGAAATTGACAGAACGAGTACTCACTTCCACGATGTTTGGGCACTACGATTATTTCCCACGGGTTCGGGAACTTCCTCCACAGCTGGCCAACCGTCTCAACCACCCAGAGCGACTCGTGCCGATCAGATTTGAGTTCGATGTGGAGCATCATAAGATGCACAAGACCTTTGTATGGAATCTAAATAGTAAGCTTCTTGTCTAGAGTAGCTTTCATTGCTGACGTCATTTAGATCCTGTCATCATTCCTGAGCATTTTGCGCAGACGCTTGTCGAAGATTATACGCTACCCACCATGTTGACGGCGACTGGAAAAGAAGTGCGTCATTTTTATTTTGCTGTCATATATCTACTAACTATTGCTATCCCTGCTCTGACTTCCTGCACTCATTTCCCACCGGCACCTTCATCATCACGACATGCTAGCAGACCGGTACACATACTTCTGTTCCAGTTACAGGACATGCGGAGGCACACCAACGGAAGTCACTTGTGAGATTTTAGCTGTCTTTTTCCAATGTTTTTTAACCCTACTATAGGACTGCGCCGAATACCACGAACCTTCCAGGTGTCCTAGGCGAATCAGAAATCATGGGGTCGAATCACGTCCTCCATGTTCTAACTCGTCGTGGTGTAGGGCACTACATCGATGGTAAGAGAATGTAGTAGAATATTTCGTGTATGACTCACCTGGCAATTAAAAAATTCACGATTAATTGATCGTCTTTATCACAATCTACAATGCAGTCTGTCCTCTCTTGCTTGATCACCAATACACTTCCATACAATTGTTTATGCTGTCCGCTCATGGCAGACATGTGCTTGAGTAGGTGATTTACCGATTGATGTTGATCTGTGGTTTCGAAATACAAAGTATAAGTTCCTCGAAGGTGTGTCCCGACATTTGGGACGGTATCAAATGATCTTCGAAGCTTCCTTCTTGAAGCTGTACAATCTCTCAATTCGTGTTGTTTGACCCAGTAATTGACATCAATGTCATCGAGAGTAGGCGAGCCTCTGACTCCGTCACGCACAGGAACAGGCACGAGGAATGGTCTATAACAACCAGATCCATAAAATATGCCCTTGAAAATGTGTGGGTATCGCTCCGATTTCATTTCAATATGAGAATGTCCAGTTGTTATATCAACTTACAGGTCGACGCGCTCGAATTTCTGGTGGCAGATATTTCACATCGTCCCCTGTTCAAAGTGTAAGACACCTTTTTTTTTTGGACTGTGCACTCACGATGACTAGCCCCACATCCTTCTAAGAACTGTAGCATTTGATCCCAATTATATGAACAATGAGAGTTCATACAATAAGTATTCAATCTCCATTCGACATCGACGTTATGAAACACATTCGTGACTGAATCGTCTTGGTCCCAGTCGACAGATAATCGCAGTTGCTGACACCGTACATGGTGCCAGAATGTTGGACACTGATCACCGCAGCTGCTCCCTAAAAAGTTGGTGTCATCTTGCACTTCTAAGTCACTCAATTCTCCAGCAGTGCCCAACTTTCGATCATACAACACCAACCGTCCTGCATGGCTTTTGATAGCGATATTAGCTTCCAAACAGCGTGGATAGAACACGCATAAGCCTCCAGTTGTCATGAAGATCATATCTGCGGTTGTCGGGGCATTAAGAATGATATGAAGAACACTATCTTGTTTTTTGGGTTCGGCCATCGTGATAATCCGATCTTTTGCCTTGTATATGTGAAACCGACCTATGTGTGGTGCGAGCGCTGGGTGCGCGACCTCTGAGATGGGTGTGAATCCTAACGTGTCTTGTAACATCGAATGTAATAGGTTGAATCCTCCGTGCGGTACCACAATATTGAGATCACGGGCGGTGTGTTCATGCATACCTGTCACCATACTTTTTGCACAAGACCCGGTAATCACGCCACATTGTTCTTGCAAGGACCGCATAAAAGGTCCCTGCATGTCCCCAATGAACGGGCCAAGGATATGGGTTAAGCGCCTCCGCACGACATCTTTCGCAAGTCTGCGTAACATACGACAAGTCCGGCTAACGTTTCGTAAATCAAAGATCATCAGAGCTTCTAAAATAGTAGCAGCAATGTCGTAGTTCGCAGTTATTGGTGTTGTTGGTTTTGGCATAATGAGAATTTCCAGGAGATGAATATACAGTCAGCCGCACGCAACCTAGATAGAAGGACCAAAATCAAATTAAGTAATTGAACTTCGTCATAGTCTCTCGCGCGAGCTCTTTGATCCGCAAATCCTCTTCTCTCAAAAACTCGGAGGGATGGCGGGTGAAAAGGCTATCTTCAAAGTCTCTCAACAAACGAATACTGTTTCGCCCTCGACTTCGAGACAGTGCCACATATGCATTAAAAGGTGACAGACTGAAGCTCGTCGTTTTTCCAATGTCCACTAGTATATGATCAATAGTCTGTCCCTGCGCTTTGTAATCTGTGAAGGCGTATGCTGGTGTGAGTGGATATTGTCGACGAGTTATACGTGTATGATTTTTGTCAGTGGACGTGATAGAGAACTTGACTTCGATAGGAGACAATGGAACTTGACGGGGTTTGAGTCCGGGCAGGGTAAACAGATCACAGAAATCGAGCTCGACAATGATGAGAGCGGGAGGATAGAGCAAGTTCACTTCTCTCTTTCTCCAGGGATCTGTGGCCAACAATGGCTCTCGACCATCCAGATGTATTTCCACTATCCGTCCTCGCAATCCATTGCACAGGTTGGCGGACGTTGCTAAATTGCGTGTAACCATGACCCGCATGTCTATCGCCAACCGAAGAACTGTGGGTGTATGCTCCGTATCTTTCAAAGGCAGCCTTGCAACTTGCAATCGCTGACTCATGTTGAGACCAGTGCCGTGTGCTGAATCCTCTGCATAGCATGTATACAACGTATTATGCGTCGATATACAATGCTTGATGACTGCACGATGGTTCCAATACGTCTGCACACTGTTTCGCGGGGTAATGAGGATGGCATCATTCCATGGAGCTATCGCGAAATTGGGAACTTCGCAAGTGTCGTCAGACAGAATGAGGCTGCGTATAATAGTCAAATCGTCAGCAGTACAAGCTCCATCTCTAGATCGCTGTAATATGTCGTGCCATACAGGATCCGTAATGCGCATTTGCTGATCGAGTTGAACTACTGTCGTAAATTGCAGATAAAGATTACGTCCTAATTGACAACGTGTTGTGGTCGGAGATGGATGATACAGCGAGTGTGTAGGACTTGCAACCGGAGGAAATTGATGAAAGTCTACCATGACAAGAACTCCCAAGCCGCCAAATGGGATTGTGGAGGATGCGTTAGGAATTCCTGCAGATTCTCGATATGCTCCCGTGACTTGAGAGACGAAGCATAAGAGATCAGTAGTAAGCATGCTACCTTCGTCAACCACCAATAAAACTTTATTGCGCATGTTTTTCTCCCGTTGCTTCATCGTTTCGACTTTAGGATGATATATCCATGAGTCGGATGTGGGTAAACCTTTGAGGTTCGCAGGAATTGTGGCCCATGAATGAAGTGTTGATCCTCCAATTTGAGAAGCGGCTACTCCTGACAACGCTGTTTTAGCTAACCGATCACGACAACCTCTCGCCGTAAACATTTCGGTTATAGCGTGAAGCAACCGTGTTTTGCCAGTGCCACCTTGACCATGGATTTGCATAAGCAATTGTGGTGGTTGACGCCCACACAAAATATCGTCTAACTCATAAGCAAGATTATTCATTACAGTTGCAAGCCATACTCACCTAAGAATTGGTAAACGATACCAAACGCAAGACATTGTTTTTCGTTGAGATATTCAGGGACGGCAAAATGAGATGAGGAACTTTCCTCACTCAACGTCAGAGATGCTGTGTGATTTAAGACGCGCGATTCACTGACAGATCGAAAAGCCTGTACAGCTTCGACACGTCCTACATCGACATCACATGTAAGGGATGATATATCAGGTGTTTCGGTAGCGTTTTTGATCAATTTGTCCCACTGCAAGTAACTTTCCCATTGACGATCTGTAACGATTTCGGCGAGGTTCGAGACCCTCAAATTCTCCTCAGCATCTTGCGAGAAAAACCCATAGTCCTCGGCTATGTTCATGGCGACGTCCGCATATAGCCTTTCGCGCGCACCAAAAGTGCCATCTGCTGCACGCACTATGTCCTCTTCTGAGACGTTTTCTTCAATGCCAGAACCCACGGACATATGGCCTTCTTCTTCGCCCAATAAGTCTTCATCAAATCGTTGTAAATCATCGGAACCATGATACATTGTCTGCGTAACTGATCTGTGTTCTTTTGCTTTATCAGCACACTCGTGAAAGTACTGCATATTGTCAACCAAATCATGAATTGATGATGACGCTGTTGACATGAATGATTCGAAAGCTGAGTCGAAGGTTTCGTCCATGCGTTTGAGTTGGATGATATTCCTCCAAGGTTTAAGCAGTGCGAGAACAGAGGCGCAGTACAATGCGTGACATTGAGATTCGTCGGACCGAGGAAACCATGGTCCTGGAATGTGAGGTATCGTGTTGTGATTGGTTTGGCGAATCACTCGAACGTGTCCTTCATGAGGTGTGCCAGCCAAGTAAGGCAGACGAGCATGCCAATCGTGTCTCTTAGGCAAAGATCCAATCTCGTCTGATTTTTCGTGGACATCATACGTGTTGAGAAAATACTCCAGATAATTGAGGTTGTCCAGTTCAACATGGCGATCGACATACTCTCGAATTTGATCTTGCAATCTGACAGAACCTTCGTGCATTTCTAGAACAGCATATTCTGTCTGGAACCAGTCAGATATGGACAAACTGTGAGCGGTGTAATAGTTTCTTGTACCTGATGGTCGTGAGCAGTCGTGTCAATTGTTTCACCCTCAGACGTTCGCTGGATCACTTGAGATCTGTATGCAGTTGATATCAGCCATGGGTAATCAGAACATTGTCACACATACTGACCGACCAACGCGCAATTCTGAGTACGTCTTTTTGAGAAGCGAGACGACAGAACTCCAATGGATTGTTGCAAAATGATGGGAGACATAACGATCCCCCCAACCCATAAGATACGATACGACTTCAGGTGCACTGAACTCCTGCTCTCGACTAAGACAATTTGCACACCGTTGGATAAGACGGCGATTTAGCTGCTGAATGTCCGAATTGTGAGCTTCGTTTTGTTTATGATACGCGATAGATTTGGCAAGCAATGCAGAGGCATTGGATGAATGTTGTTGACGTTTGGCTGCATAAGTCGAAATATACCAACTGATATGTTTCGTATCACCGCCATTGGTGATTAGCTTGCAATCGTGATTGGCTCGAATAGCCAAGAGAATCGACGGGTTCCAATTGTTCATGAAGGGATAAACACGGCGTGGGCCCCATTCACCATTGACATCAATCCAAGCTTCATCAGCCACAGGAAAAGGTGCTCTGCGTTTACAGAACAGGCGCCCTCGCCAACTTTGTAAACATCCTGGTCCGCATTTGTGTATTTGAACAGCTCGGACCAACTGTCCCTCGAGCCGCTGACGATGAACATCGAAAAGAGATTGACGAGGATCAGGTGGACGTGAATATGATATGGCTCGTGCACGTGGAGTGATAGCTAATGTCTGTGCCGTAACATCTGCATGATGACCT